GGGGGGGGGGGGGGGGGGGGGGGGGGATAACTGGAGTCACAGAACAAGCTTACCAGACTTCATGTCCACCCTGTCAACATTTCCATATTTTCTGAAGAGCCTCTCCAGCTCACTCTGTCTGGTTTCAATGTCAAAGTTCCCACAGAAAATTGGCCTCATCTTAACTGCAGAAAACACTGAAAAACTGAAGTCTCAAAATTAAAAATAACTTCTGCGAGATTTACAGTGCAAAACCATGTGATGTGTTTTTCAAGATATGCACTCGAAAACGTAAATGCAAAACGAAAAAAAACGAAGAACTAGTGTTCGAATCTCAATATAGAGATCGAATCTAAGCACAAACAGATCAGATCTATCATGTCTAGAAATGAAAAGTTAAGGCATGAATGAATTCATCAACGCACCGGCTGAATGATTTGAAACAAAGTTCAGAAAACGGATAAAGTTCGAAGATCACAATACACCGAAATAGGTTTTAAAATTATCAATTACACAACATTTGTATGCAACCTTAACAGATCTTGTGAAACTGAATATAGATAAGGCCATACCCGTGGAAGTTTGGCGGGCTCGCAGGAAAGGAGTCGGAACCCTAGTTGAGGAATGAGGAAGATGGAGCGGGGAAAAATGAGCAGGAAAAATACAGTTTGATGTGAATTGATGGATATTAATTTTTGTGCTTGATTTTAAAGTTGGGTATTTTCTCACACATTTCATGAATTGATGTGATTATCTATTATTTTTTTCAAATAGACCAATTTATTTGTGATATTTATATACTCCGTATTGATTTTTATAATATTAACATAAATCTTGAGGTTAGAGAAGAATTTGACTTAATTAAAATGGTTTTATTTTAAAATTAGATCAAAAATTAGATAAGAAAAACTCAAATTCTTCTCGAAGATAATAAGAGAAAATCTTCTTCTTTTTTCTTTTCCATTAGAGGTTAAGGGCATGTTTGACAAAAGTTAAAAATTAGTTGATGCTTTAGTTTTTCAAAAGAAACATACATTATTAATTTGTGAAATTTGCACGGTGCTGAATATGACTAAAACATAAGTCATTTTGAAAGTATGATTTGAACTTTTTTATTTCCTAAATATGACTTAATAATGACTAGTGAGAAGAATAGTGTTCAAGTGATGCTGGACATTTAGTTGAATAATGACTAATAGATAATGACCAAAGGTCCTACATTGGGAAATAAAAATATATGGTCCTATATTGAAAAAGTTAATGTTTTAGTCCTATTTATGTAAATTATTCTATTAATAAAAATGTTATTTTCAAACAATGTTCGGGCTGATCGCGCCAGATCGATCTCATTGATATACTAAGACTTCGTTTGTATCATAACAATATTTCACATTTCTCATTTCGTCCATCTCAAAACAAATCATTTTACACTATTGGCATAGTTTTAGTGGCTATTATTATTTCTCATCCATATGTTTTCAATTGTACGAAGTATAACTTTACTTTTCTGATTCTTTATGCACTATCAATTATGAAAATGTATTACACAATGGGTGAAGTATTACATTTGACAAGATTGGTTCAGTTTTTTCGTAACCGGTTCACACTAGTCCATTTCATTTTTTCACAATAGAAAAATAAGAACTTCTCGAGACTATAGAGTCTCCTAGTAAGGACCATTCGATATTTGGTCTGATCCGATCTTTATTTTTATTGTGTAACAATTAAGTTTTAATTTTTATCATTCAAAAAAAACAACATACTTTTGATTATTTATGTTTTTAAATTTCTATACTTTATTGATTAATACAGAGTAATGTAATACGTATTTAGGGAGTATGTAGCATGAATGTATTTATCTAAACTAAAAGTAGAATAAAATTAATGGAATAATAAATTTTTATTTATATGTTGATGGTGCCAGCAAGGTGGGGCGGACATACGGCTCTATAGCGCGTCTAAGAGAATAAGCTTGGTGACTGAGCTAACAACCAAAAATACGAATACACGGATTTTATGTGGAAATCCAATTGGTTGAAAAACCATGAGTCTTTTCTGGCGGTATCATGATAACGTGGTAATTTTATTATAAATGATGATTGTACCCAAGCATCTAGTTCGTTAATCGTATCTCGAGCCTAAAAACTCTGATTTGTGATATATTCGTGTCATCAGGTTCAAAAGGTCGAGTTTTGCAAAATAAAACAATTCCCCAATTAAAGTCCAATTTCCAAACAAATCAATTCCAGATCTATTTATATGATAAATGTTTGAAATACGAGATTACGAGTAAATGTTTCTATGTTTTGTCATTCACATTGGTTTTATAGAAAGAAAATCATGCCGGATACACCAAATAGTGTACCATACGGAAATGCACCGACATATTAATGGTTCACACTCGCACAAAATATTAGTTCAATTAAAAAATTTACACTATTACCACACTAGCATTACACTAGCTCAAAATATTAATGTATGCCTTTAAGGTATAAAATAAGGAGTAGAATGCAAGTTTTAGTGTACAAATAACTTAATCCATAAAAAAAAGAGCAATGCTAGGGGTACACCAAAAGTGTACCCCAAATGTACACCACTCCCTTCTCCACCACCTATTTTTATTTGATTTTTTTATTTATTACGGAGTAATTTTTTATTTTCTTATCCAATTATGTGGACAAGGAGGGGGTGAAGGACAAATGCTAGGGGTAGAATGCAAGTTTTAGTGTACAAATAACTTAATCCATAAAAAAAAGAGCAATGCTATTTGGTGTACCTCTAGCATTTTTCTAAAAAAAAATCCTCCATATCCTTCTCAGTTGAAAATGGGAACCTAACAACTTTCCCATTCTAGCTAGATCTGCCACTTACTGTCCGTCCGTACAAGTGAACTGGTACAGAGGTACAAGTGTGCATGGATGATTGGGGAAGCCGTACATTTAATTTAATTAGGATGGGAAGTGGGGGCGGCGGGGATGATGGCCTGGGGGTCGGTCGGTGATGAAGAAGATCGAAGATGATGAAGAAGATGAAGATGAAAGAAGATTAGAGCGAGGAGCCAAGGCGATGGATGAACGGAGAACCGATCGTAAGGCAGGAGAGATATTTGAGTAAGGGCACGTGGGTCACGCGTTTCCGTGGGGAAACCACATCTGGCAGTTGCACGGAACCAAAAATGAAGGAAAAACTAAAAAAAAAGAAAATGAAAACTCCGGTCCACATATCTCTTTCATCCACCTTCAAGTCTAACATCAAAGTTTGATACTCCATCCCTATATTCCGTATATTTTTTTATTTATAGATAATTATAAATTGTATCTTACATATAGTAGTAGATGTTTGCATATTTAGAGCAACTTTAGTGGTTCCTCCCACTTTCCCATCTCTCTCTCATAATTTTATAATCATTTTGGGATAAAAGGAGTAAGATTGTTCATCCATGTGTATTATAGGTGAGCGCGGTCCGTGACGATTCGTGAATCTATCATAGGTTGCTCTTATTTAAACGGTTCAGTATGGATACAGGATGAATCTCAAACATATGTGGTTCCGCTCGTTTTGAAATGAAACGATAGAATACCATACCTATGTTCAACCCGTGCCAAAAAGTTAAACATGCATTATTCAAATAATGTTAAAATAAAAGTATAATTTTGTATAAAAAACACACTTTTGAATAAAAAAAATGATTTCGAATTTAAAAAGATCATAAACTTAAAGAATAAAAGATAACGACTCATTTTTTAAAATACATTTTTTCAATCTATACAATATTAAAGTATTAGTAATTCAAAAAAACAGTGCTCATAGTAACTAGTAATGAATGTAATAACAACAATAATAATGAAAGAATAATAAAAAAGAATAATACAATAAAATGTACTCCACATATATATATATATATATATATATATATATATATATATATATATATATATATATATATATATATATATATATATATATATATATATATATGGTAATATGAAGTAGACAAATAAGTATTTAACACACTTCGTAGATAGCTTTAAATGATTTGATTTGTGATAATCGATTTTTAAATTTTTATATCATGGTCTCATCCCATTTCATATCTATTCGGTTTTGAATTTGTGATAAAAAAATTAATTTCATTTAAAGATACTATAAATGGTTCGATACCATAATGGTCTATTATGGTACCGTGTTTGTTTGGTTTTTTTTGCCCATCCCTGATGTGTATTTGTAAATGTGGCGTCTAATTGTACACTACGAGAATGAGGGTTTGAAGCTTTAATTTTTTATAGCCAACCAATGATTTTGGCAGTAATGACATGGTCGGTCGTTGGTACGTAATTTAAGTATCATTAGAGCATCTTTAATGCAAGACTCTTAAGGGGGTTCTTAATTCAAAATTGTTGATGTGGAGCTCATGTGGAGTATATATGAAGAACTAGTTGCTTCATTTCTCAAATTAGTTACTTTGGGAAAGAGCTGTACCATAGTTATGAACTCTCTCTAAGGGGGTGTTTTTTTGCCAGAAGACCTTCTGGCGTCTTTTGTCTGCGCCGCGCAGACGCGCGCAGACGATGGGCTCTGCAGATTGTTTGTTTTTTGGAAGACATTTCACTCAAAAAGGTCTTCCTGGCATCTTCTTGGAGAAGACATTAACCAATGTCTTCTAACATCTTCTCCTTTTTTTTCTACTTCTCTTCACCACCACAACCGTTCACCGCCACCGTCCACCACTACCACCGTCCACCATCACCGTCACCGTCCATCACCATCGTCGTCCACCACCACCGCCACCATCCACTGCCACCACCACCACCGTCCACCACCACCCTTCACCACCACCCTCCACCACCACCACAATCGTCCATACACCACCACCGTACACTACTATCATTAATTTATATAACAATCTACAGACATTAAAAAACAAACAGTCTTCTTCTGGCAGACCGCAGACCTTCGGTCCACCACTTCTCCTGCAGATGTCTACAGTAGTGATCCGCAGACTGCAGACCTTTTCCTGCAGAAAAAACAAACACCCCCTAAGGGTGTAGGGTATGAACACAATAAAATGAATTTGGTACCAAAATAAGATGATGCGGCATTTATTTTTTTTTATAAATATTTTAACCAATTAGAGTTTAACACATATTCACACCAACCATAGTATATACTCCTTCTGTCCACCTAAGATCTTCCTATTACGCGTTACAAAGCTTGATCGACTTTATTTTCAATTCAATTTAATTGATTATAGGAGTAAAGTTTTAAAATAAAATTTACATAATAATAAACTATATGAAAAGTTTTACAAAACTAGAGGTGACAAGACAATACTCCCTCTGTCCACAAATAAATTTTACGTTCAATATTCACAGGGTCAAACTTTATTTATTTTGTTGGCCTATTTTCGTCACCCATTTGATAAAATAATATAGTCATGTCACCTCTAGTTTTGTAAATCTTTTAATATAGTTTTTTAATATGTAATTTTTATTTTTCAATTCTTTACCATTTTTCATATAAAATGATTTGAAAATAACTTCAGTCAAACATCGTAACGCGCAATGTAAAGTTTATTTGTGGACGGAGGGAGTATTATTTTATGAAATGACTAGTAAAAATGAGTAAACAAAGTGAGTAAAATTTGACCGTGTAAATAAATGTTGTCATACTAATTTACACAAGATGAAGCCACTTCAAAAGACACGGTGTAATAATGAATGATTAAAACCTTTTGAGGCGATGGGTTTGAGAGGAGTTGAGTGGAGTAGTCCAGTTGGCTTCACACCGTACAGCTAATGTAATTAATTAAGCTACCATACATACCTCCGATACCCGCCCCCCTTTCGCTGGCCAATCATATCACTTCTTTCATTCCCATCTATTTCTCTCCACCCTTATTAGCTTTCTTTTTCTTCTTCTTCAAATCTATCTTTCCCCCCTTTCTCCTTTCCTTCCTCCCAACTCTCCCCCACCCACACAGCCTGTCCATATACAAATCATCCCTCCCCCCCCCACTCCGTGTTCTCTCGCGTACCAAACGTACGTGCGTCTATCTCCTTATCGATCAACTAACTCATCATCACTCTATCTGAATTGGAGTATATATATATATATATATATATAAATCCATTATAATGTGATTTAAATCTTATCACGTTACACACTTACCTTCCAAACAAGAAGTTTTACACTACTCCACTCGTACTCTATTAGTCTATTACGTACCTATAGTACGATACTACGACTCCTCATCCTATCTACCTTATTATAGAAAAGAAAAAGAATACTAACAATAATAATGGATATAATGGGCAATTACTACTCTGGGAATTTCCTGACGGCGGTCGCCACTTCCTCCAACTTTTGGTCAACTTCCCCCGCCGCCACTACCTCCGAAGCACCTGGCGGCGCTGCGGTATCCTCGCCCCTGTCTTCCGACGACAGTAGTACTGCAGGCTGCTGCAGTAGTTTTACCGCGACCACCACGAACAACAACATGGAAGACACCATGTCCCTGGCCTGCGATACTCCCAAGAAACGAGCGGGCCGGAAGAAGTTCCGGGAGACTCGGCACCCCGTGTACAGGGGTGTCCGGAGCAGGAGCTCCGGCAAGTGGGTGTGCGAGGTGAGGGAGCCCAACAAGAAGTCCAGGATATGGCTCGGCACTTTCCCCACCCCCGAGATGGCCGCCCGCGCCCACGACGTCGCCGCCATCGCCCTCAGGGGCCACTCTGCCTGCCTCAACTTCGCCGACTCCGCCTGGCGCCTCCCCGTCCCCGCTTCCCTCGACCCCAGGGACATCCAGAAGGCCGCCGCCGAGGCTGCCGAAGCCTTCCGAAGCGAACCCACCGCGGCGGCCGCGGGAGGGTATGATCCAGAGAGGAATGCGGAGGCGTGGATGGTGGAGGAGGAGGATGTGATCTTGGAGACGCCGGGATTCTTCGCTGACATGGCGGAGGCCCTGATGCTTCCTCCGCCTCATTACGAGGTTGACCGTGCGGATGATTACGTGGACAGTTCGGCTGACGTGCCACTCTGGTCTTACTCGTTTTGATCCATTATTATTATTATTAATTCAAACGGACCCCTTTTTGTTTTGAATGCTTTATCATGTAATTCCGTACTGTGTAGCTGGAGTTAGTAGTACTCCGTACTAATTACTCCGTAATTAATTAGTGTATAAATTCTACTCGTATTTCATAGAGTGGGATGGGATATGATGCAACCATCTGTATCTGATCAGCACATAATTTTTGAAGATGTACGAACGAAATATGGGGAAAACTATCCTAATCTCACGCCTTTTTTTCTCTCTCGTGGATTTCATCTGGAAAAGTCAAAGAATGCCTTTTTATGCTAGTGCAAAGAATATCTGTTTTCCTAGAGCATGCTGTATGTCATATAATGAAATAAAGTTGAAAAATGTGGGTGTACTCCATATGTCCTCCACCCCCTCCTTATCCACAAAAAAAGGCAAAAAAAATTTAAAAAAAATAAATAAATAAAAATCAAATAAAAATGTGTGGTGGAGAAGGGGTGATGTATATTTGGGGTACACTTTTTGATGTACCCCTAGCATTGCTCAATAAAGTTTTACGGAGTAATATTTTTTTTTGATAAAACTATTTGTACTCTAAGAATTTGCACCTCATTTTGTACACCGTATGAATGTACCAATATTTTGTGTTGGTGTAATGCTAATTTTTGTTAATGCACCAACACTTTATGTCAGTGTGAACCATCAAAATGTTGGTGCATACCTTTGGTGTACAAATGAGGTACAAATTTTGGGGTACATGTAGCATGCTCCTATTTTTTTATATCAAAGTAAAATTTATAATATAAAAAGTATTGATATACTCCCTCATTCCCAAATTAATGTTTTTGATTGAGTTAGATACAAATTTTAAAAAAATAGTGAAATTGTGTAGTTGAAAAATGAAACAAAAGATAGAAAGTTTCACAATTTTTTTCTAAGACTATGTGTTATGGGAAGCTTGACGGGGCTCGTCAGAGTGTAAATGTGTATGATGTGGAGTGATAAAAAATGTATGTTATGATTAGTGTGAAGGAATGTGATAAAATGTGAATGTATATTAATTTCTGATATGTTGAAATTATAAAAAAAAAAGAGAAAGAGCTAGAAGGGGCAACGACGGGACTGTCATCACCCCCACAAGGGGCAATGCCCCTTTCATAGCATACCGGCATGTGTGGAGGAGCGTGAGGAGAGGCATGAGAGCCTCTCACGTTGGGGGGTGACGCCCCATAACTCCCGACCTAAAGGGAACATGAAATTTTTTTGGGGACGTCCACAAAGGAAAGAAGAAAAAATAATTCATAAGGGAGAGAGTATACGGTTAAAAACACTAAAATATCAACAGAAATGTTAATATGTTGTAATTTTTAAATATATAAAATTAATTAACTAAATTAAAATAAAGATAAATCAAGTTCTAATCAATCTTGTGATTTTAGTCATGGGTAGGAGAGAATATATTCTTTTCTTTAAAAAGAAATATGAAGTATATACCTCTCTTCATGACCCTTATTTTCAATCTTGTTTAATTCAGTTAAAATCATAGAGTAACTAAATTACAACCAATTTACTCTAACTAGATTCAGTTGAAAAGAATAGACTCTAAGTTAGAAACATTCAATCCTCTAAACACAAATTCAAAAACCAGTAAAAATGCATCTCTGATTAAATATATGGAACCGAAACAGAGAACAAAGGAACCCGCGTGCAGAAAGGGATTCATCCCTGCGGGAAAAAAACAACCCCACCAATAAAATAAAAGGAAAACAAAAACAAAAAAAGACATTCTTCTGATATCTTAATACAATAAGGGGAAAAAAAGATTCATATGGCAAAGTGGCAAACAGTACTTATCCTAGTAGCCAACCAGCCAGCCAGTCACAGATTCTGCTACTTTGACTTCTTGATCAGAGTAGTGGTCCTGAATTCACTATCATCCCTAACAAAACTCCACAGCAAGGAGGTGAGGGGAATGGCTGCCGCGTGCGAAACAGCGCGGGCATCCACAAACCCCCAGTACGGAGCAAAGTCAGATATTTCGAGGAGGGTGACGAGAATGCCCCCTGCCACCACGGCCCACAGCTTCCGGCGTGATGGATGACGACTCCCTCCTGCCCACACCCCCCACATTGTCAGCTTTGCTGTGACCATAGCAAAACACACCTTCCGGTTCAAGCCTGCACACAAAGGACAGTTTTAGTTTGTGTCTATCAACTAAACGTTAAGAGTGTTGAAAGCAAAGGAAGCCCGAGATTGGGAGTGGGCTCATACCATAATCAAATTGATAAAAGTTAAGGTACAAGATATGGGTTGTCACGAACGCAACGATTGGGGCAGAAACCATTACTCTGGTAGCCTCGTCTCGCACATTGAAGGTTCTCAATATAGCCAAGATAAGAGAAAACCCTAGCAAGGCAACCACAGAAGAATTGTCTAGCCTCTCTGTCAAATCTACATCTCTGCAGATGATTTCAGAACATCAAGACATTTAATGTGAGAAACTAGAGAGACAAAACCACCTGCATGCCATGTAGTAGGTGGATTGGAATATAATCTTTACAAAAATGATATGCAACAGTTTGGTAGATAATGAAATAAAAACCTTTGGCCCATTAGCAGACATGGGCAGGTCTCACACCACATCCAACAACCGAGAATACCATTTATTTCTAAATCAAATTGATACCATTTTTTTGTTTGACTTTCATGGAGCTCAAAAAGTGTTAAAAAGTTCTTGAATCGAGGCTGTACTTTTAAAATTCAAAGAAAGTCAATGACCTGTTGCTCTAATGTGTTTTTCCTCTTAAACATGTTTGACAGTGATTCTTTACTATGTATTGGTATTAGCTCACCAGTCCAACAAAAACTAAGACTTAATCCCAAAAAAACGAGGACGGCTAGTTGCTTCATTTTTCTATCCAAATATAAAGTGTGAATCTGTAATTTTGTAAATGAATCAAACAAAATCTGCATACATGAACAAGGTCAGCTAACCGCTTCAGACATTTAGCCGAGTATAAATTGTGAATTGTAATTCTGTAAATGAATCAAACAAACTTTTCATGTGTGTTTTATTGGTAGATTTTTTTTAAATGTTCTGAAAGAAATACAAGAGTCAGTGGAAAAGTGATGGGATTTCCCAAATTTAAATGGAAGTGCTTCCACAAATAGAGGCTAAGCACGACATAGGATTATCCATTGAATAAGATTCAAGGCAAAAAGAAACAAGCCCTCAAATTTCACACTTACCTACTATGTAAAACCGCCCTCCAAAACCATGCGTTCATTGATAAAATAGCATAGCTATGCCACAAACCGGTGTACTCATAATATGGCTTTCTATTTGGCCTGAAAGGCAACTTGTAATTAACTAATATGAAGAAGGACACCCAGCCATGAAATTGAATAGCAAGATTTAGTGCAGACAGTGCAACAGAAACAGGTTCCTGAATATTAAAAAAGGAAACATAGGTAAGGTGTACTAAACAGATGATTAACAATGAATTAAGAGTATATTTGCCTTTTAGCATGAAAACCTGAATTCCGTAGGCACGCTGAAATGGCCATTTTCCATGATATTTGACAGGCTTGAGACCAAGTTTTTGCCTTTCTTCCTCCCTGTCCAGCATACAATGATATCGACAATCACGGAGACAATCCCATTGCTTCCACCTTAGATAAAGTGGCTCTTGCATGTACCACAGGCCATCAATGGGATTCCCACCGGATGAAAAATTGCAATGCTGAAAGCATTTCTCCCCTACACACCCACTCTTCTCGCATTGCTGAACACATTCTCTGCCACACCATCAATTTGGCAAAACAACATCACAATCAGAAGATAATCAACAAGAAAATGCAGCTGAAACTAACACCACACCCACACTCAAGAGCACTCACAACTTTATCTTCCATCATCGGTTTTATATAAGCACGCCTTTAAATTTTAAAAATGCAGACTTTTGACACCAACATTGAGTACTAATTTTTGAAAACCAATAGAAAAAAAAAACAAAAAACAAAAATGCATATTTACTATAGATTTTGAAGTAGATTCAGCCATCAGCACACAAAAGATAACAATACTTCAACGCGATGTGACTAGAACTTGCACAACATACTGATTTCTCATAAAATCGGGGATTGACATTAAATTCCAAATAAATGTCTGATTTTAGGTTAAATCTTTTAAATTTCTGGGGGGGGGGGCGCACTGATTGATTTGAAGATTTCTGAATTTGAAACAGCACCACCTTAATTTCGTTCAAACCCCGAACAAAAAGGGAAAAGATATATGGAGAATAAGAAAAGCCGAACTGACATGTAAATCGGATCGGCATCTCCATCGCTGGCGGCGTCGAGGGCTGCAAAAATGGAAGAGAAAACAGCGAAAAACAGCACCAACCGATTGAGTGCCATGGGAGTGGCGGCTATACAGGAGAGAAAGAGAGAGAGAGAGGAGGGCAAAATCTGGCTNATCAACAGAAGAAGACGGAAGATTGAGTGGCTGGCAATGGCGAGGCGAGCATCAGAAGCCCAGATTCTCTCGTCTCGTGAATAACAATAACAATAGGTGGGGAGAGTGGAGGGACACCCAGAGAGGGAGAGACGTCGGTGACGATTTGATGTTTTCACAGAGACAGCCCCTTCCTCTTTCTTGTTCTTGTTTTTTTTTTACTGTGTATAATTTTCCCACCAAATCTGTGCGCCCTATCCTACTCGAGTTATAACTGCTAGGACCACCCCCAAAAAGTATACTTTAATTTGTATTTTAAAAAAATGTATTGATATTTTAATACTTATTGGCATAAAATGTTAGTTACTTAAAAAAACTATATTGATATTTTTTGTCAATGTAAACTATTACACTAGCATCACACTAGAACAATCGGAACGAATAAATGTAAAACTAAGTTACACTAAAAAAATAAAATTTGTTATTTTTAAAAAGTCGAAAGTACGTTTAAATAAAAAGACATGAAAAACTAAAAAATGAATAATTAAACACAAGAATTGGTTAAGAAACGTATTTCATACGAGTATTTCACAAACTAAAAAAAATGAATGATAAATCATATTCGAAGTGAAATTATATTTTTGGGACGAATAAAGTATAAATTATAATTACTTTACTTCAAGACAAGAACACATTATTTTAGAGTGAAACAAAAGAGAAAATGTGAAATCATTTTGTTCATAAACGAGCAATAAATTTGACTAATTTTCAATCTCAAAATAAATTTTAGATTTTTGTTTCTTATTTACTTCAAAATAAATTATGAATTTGTCATTTGTCCTATTGCAAAACAAAATAAGGGACTCACAAATTTTATCTTTTCCCCAAATATTTTTTTCCCTTTATTTAAACAAATTTTAATAAGAGATTGTTTAAACTCTAGGAGCTTAAACCATTTTATTGATTTCAAGATAGAGCAAATTCAGCAAACTACTTGTTCTTATTTAACGATTATTAAAGTTTAACTGATTGTTTTCAATTTAAATTATTGTAAAAATAAAAAATGTAAATTATAAAAAAATACAAAAGGGTATGAAAGCAAGTTAAAAATTAATTCACGGAAAATGTCATTAAACAATTAAGAGTACCTTACAAGAATTAAAAAAATCTTGAACAGTTTCACTTACTCGGTGACACTTGAGCACATGGCAACCGCCGCCTTCCTCCTCCCCTTCTGCCACTCTACCACCGGAAAACACCGCCGCCAACCCCTGTTTGTTCAGCGTCCGAATCATCCGTCGCGCTTTCACGTTTCGTTCCGATCGTCACGGCCTCAGCTAATTCGTTACCAGAAGCCGAAGCCATTGGCTATATCGTCGGCTTATGCTGCCGGCCCCGCTATTGACGCCTTTGTGTCCGAAAGCGAGCTCAAATTCGAAGATTCCGGAGATAATTTCGGCCCACCAAAGCCAATTGAAGTGATCAATTGGGGACTCTTATGGAGGCTTGTTTTCGGCCACAAGATCCACCTCGCCGCTTCTGTTATCGCTCTCCTTGGCTGCACCACTTGCACTCTCACCATGCCTATCCTATCTGGTTCTCTCTCAGACCATGAAAAGATTCTATCTTTTTTTTCCTCTTGTTTTTTCAAATTCACAAAAGTCTCACACAGTCAGCCACTCAGCCTTCATGACAAATTTTTAAAAAGTACCATTTTTTGCACTGCATTCTGTCTACAATGGGTATATGTGGATTATTTATGAGTTACAGCTTCTAATTCTATTGGGTTGGACTTTGGAGTGTCAATGCAGGACAATTTTTTGAAGTTCTAATAGGGAACAGACCTGATCCTCTCTGGAAAGTTCTCGGTAGAGTGGCTGTTATGTACTCGCTGGAACCAATTTTCACTGTGATTTTTGTTTTAAACATGATTACCATGTGGGAGAAGGTTATGTCCAGTTTAAGAGCTCAAGTGTTTCAGAGAGTATTGCTCCAGAAGGTTACACATTCCCTTATCGTTTTGGATTTACGTTTTTTGATTTGTTTGCCGTCATGCCTTCAAATCTTAATTCAACACGAAAGAGCTTGTACGTGAGCCTCAACTTGATAAGAACACCCACATTTGTTTCTTATTGGATCTAGCTTTTTCTCTTTTACTCCTATCTATGTCTTTTTCCCTTAATGATGACATGCAGATTTGAACTCTCAAGTTTTTTTTTCATGCCATCTAAGCCACTTTTTTTTTTCTTGCCATCTAAGCCACTTTTTTTTTTCTGTTGCATGAATTCATAATTTTAACATTTTAGATAATTAGTCAACACGAAAATTTCATAATTCTAACTCACTTCTGAATCTAAAATTTATACTAGGTAAGTTTGAAGTGATTTCTAACCACCACACCCCCACCAACCCGGGATTAAGGTGATGATTATCTAACTCACATCCGAATCTAAGATTTATACTTGGTAAGTTTGAAGTGATTTCTAGCCCCCCCCCAAAAAAAAAAGAAGAAGAAGCAAGAAATAAAGAAAAAACAGAACCTTAATTACTCCTGAATCTATGGTTTGTACTGGATCACTCTAGATTGATTTTTTTAAAACAAACACTCACCAATTCTATTTTGCAGGTTGAATTCTTTGATCGCTACAAGGTATGCTTTTTATGTGTTTGCTCTCAATCTACAAGTGTATAACCAAGGTTCACAATGTCGGGTCAGCTTTGCTGTTTTTGTACCCCGTGTATTTTTTTAACTTAGAGCTTACTTGCAGGCAAAACAACATTTCTGGTCTCTAAGTTTTAGGGTAGTTCTTGATTAAGTTTATGTAATTGTGATGAGGTGCAAAAGACACTTCGTTGACTTTTCAAGGACCCGTTTTTACCACACTACGAAGTAGTGGAAATGGTTTTGCTAACTAATCAGGATCCATGTCATTATTGGTGGACTGAGTTAACAATTACAATAACTTAATGGCCAAAAGTGACATTCAGACATTTCTCTACAAAAACATGCTATCAAGTTAAGCTAAAATCTTGTCAGACATGATACATTTCCACATTTCAATACGTTTCCATTCTGGGATTTCGTTTCCTTTTCCTGCCACTCTGCTGGTATTAACTGCAGTGGCCTTCTTCTTGTAGGTTGGCGAACTGACGGCACTACTAACCTCTGATTTAGGCTCAATAAAGAATATTGTTAGTGAAAATGTTTCTCGGGATCGTGGATTTAGAGCTTTTTCTGAGGCAAGCATAAGTGAGCTTTATTTTTGTCTTTAATCCCTCTCACCCCATGCGCATGCACAGTGAGTAACTGCTTTGCAAGCTTGACCTGGAATTAATCTTCAATAAGGAATGAGCGTTTACATTTCTTTTTTATGATGACATTATAGCTTGATAGTTCCTTGTCCAACTGTTCCTTTTCTTTAAATGCAGATTATTGGAACATTGTGCTTATTGTTTGCCCTGTCGCCTCAATTGGCTCCAATTCTTGCTGTATTGATGCTTAGCGTGTCGGCTTTAGTTGGTAAACAGTTTCTTCAATAAATTAGCAAGCAATTACAACATTACACTGTTATGTGTTTGTGGGTGTGTTTGTGTATGCATGCATGCACATGTGTCTGTGTTTGTACACACACAACAACAACAGTATAATCCAACTCTTTTAGACCCATAGTGCATTGTTTCATTTACTACTCAAAACTGCATAGACAGTAAGAAGCAATGAAAGTTTTAGGTGCCATTTGGATAATGACTCTTTTAGCTCCATTGGTTGTGCTTTTGTGACTTGATGGAATGGAATGAGTTTGTTTAATGGAGGCAAATTATTAGAAACTCTTATTTAATGAGTAAATTTTTACTAAAGTTGTATGTAAGTCAATGTTCATCATGCAGAAGGGTTAACAACTCAATGAAATCCCCCAAGTGGGATCTGAGGAGGGTGAAGGGTAAATAGCAACTCAATGAAATCTCGCACAAGTGGGATCAGAGGAGGGTGAGTGTACACAAACCCTACCATACTTATTAAAGGTAGAGAAGTTGTTTCTGAACGGCTCCCGGCTTAAGATAAGAAACATGTTAATTGTTAAAACCATTAAAGATTAAAATATGAATGTGAAGGTGAAATGTACATCAACGACAGGCCAGTAAAATCCAATAGAGTGGGTGTGGGGGTGTGTATGCAGACCTTACCAGTACTTGGAAAGTAGAGAGTCTGTTTCCAAGAGATCCCGACTCAATACAAGGAGCAGAACAATGTAAAGGTGAAACATATACGATAAAAAGAAAGAAAGAGTAAATATCAATGCAAAATAAAACATTACTAAAGGCACCTGCTACACCTTGCTTTCCCATAGAACCTGAGTCACCCGGTTTACCCTCAACTTAAATCTTTGATCTCCAGAGGGAGAGGAAAGATAGAGCATTTAAAGGTTTTCTACATATTTTGTTTGCTTATCCATCTGTACTTGTCACTAACTGTTAGTAAAACTTCAGCCTTATACAAGAGGTCAACTGTGAATGTTTTCAAAGCCCATGGGTTGGTCCAAGCATCAATAGCTGATTGTGTGACAGAGACTTTTTCTGCCATTCGCACTGTAGGTTCTCTACTTTTTGTTCTACTTGGCGGTTTCATACATTTTAACCAGCTTATTGCATTGTCCATTTGGATCCACATGTTAATGATATCAATGTCCATTTTTTGCAGGTTCGATCATTTGGGGGAGAAATGCATCAAATGTCAGTGTTTGCTCGTGAGGTAGAGCTAACAGTTCTCATTACACTTCCAGATTTCTAGAGATTGATAAACAGCCACCTATTCATTTTCTGCACTATTAATTTGTTCGCAGGTTCTTGGGTATGAGAAGAGTGGCATAAAGCTTGGGATTTTCAAATCTGTAAATGAATCTGTAACTAGGATTGCAGTTTATGTCTCCCTGATGACTTTATATTGTCTTGGAGGGATCAAAGTGAAATCTGTAAGCACATGGATCTTGTGGATTGTGGATCATAACTTATTTCAATAGCTCTCTTATTTGCTCAAGGCTCAAGCTCAACAGTGCGCTATAAATGAAACTTTTATAGGGCCAGGATATATGAGTTAGATAGATATAGATAAATGAGATCTGGAAATGGATTGAAGTTTTAAATTTGTGGGATGATATCTCTAAGGAAATTGGTTTTATAGCTCATTGTAAGGGAAGGAGTGAGATCTCATGATATTTTGGCTTAGTTTTGTAGAGCTAAGTATGAGCTTGTAATGATAACATTTTTTGTTGTGCAGGGCTGCTATAGTTCTTAGATCTGATTCCTTCTGGCATGGATTTTATTCTTTTTAAACTAATTCTTTTAGATATTCACATTGCATTAGGGTGAACTTTCCGTGGGAACTATGGCTTCTTTTATTGGATACACTTTTACCTTAACCTTTGCAGTAAGTGCATTTATGTTTCTGTTTCAGCCCATGCCATACATTTGCAACATCACACACTCACAAGTCACAACATACATAATTTGCATGTGTATAACTATTTACTTGTTTGTCAAATCTTACAGGTTCAAGGGTTGGTCAATACCTTTGGAGATCTTCGTGTGGCCTTTGCCTCTGTTGAGAGAATCAACTCTATTTTATCTGGGGCTGAAATCGATGAGGCGCTTGCTTATGCCTTGGACAAAGACTTGAAACAGAAGAAAGTATGGGATCCAAATTTTGGACTATTTGTGGCTGATGGTTCTGATGGAAGGCAATCTAGAAGTTTGAGATACATGTCATCCCTAAAATCAGGTAGTGATTTGCGAAGCCTTGCACGATCTGGTGATATTTGTCTTGAAGGTGAGTGCTTATGTTGTACGCTTTTACCTTGCCCCCTTTTCACTTGTAGCATAGTGCACAAAGTATATCAAACAGACTAAATCCAACCTATCTTGGCATTGCAGATGTGCATTTTTCTTATCCGGCGAGGCCTGATGTTGAAATCCTCAGTGGTCTAAATTTGACCCTAAAATGCAGTACAGTTACTGCCCTAGTGGGGCCCAGCGGTGCTGGTAAAAGTACTATAGTACAGCTACTAGCACGTTTCTATGAGGTAATTTTGTCGTTGAATTGCAAATTTTATTTATTTACTCTGATTACTGTGATCAGCTCAGTGTTTAGGATATTCCAACTGTGCAGCCAACAAGGGGTCGAATTACTGTTGCAGGAGAAGATTTGAGAACATTTGATAAAAGCGAATGGGCACGTGCTGTATCTCTGGTGAATCAAGTACGTACATGGACTCTAATTTTTACTTAGATTTTGCCCATTTCAGGCCTAAACCCTGAAGTAGTGGTCCGCCATCTTCCATTGATACCACTGAATGTAAAAGAAATAAAAAATATCAGTACACATCCAACTCGTGCAGTTTGAACAACAAAGCTCACCATTAGTACATTTTTTGATCTGTTTTGTTTTTCTTTTAAATGCCTCTTACAGGAACCTGTTCTCTTCTCCGTATCGGTTGGAGAGAATATAGCATATGGTCTTCCAGATGAGGATGTCTCCAAGGATGATGTCATAAAGGCAGCCAAAGCTGCAAATGCTCATGAATTCATAGTTTCATTGCCACAGGTTTGTTGTTACACTGCATATTACTCTCTTAGTTTTTTATTTTATACATCATGCCTTCATCCTCACCCTCCTCTCTAATCTCTATAGGGTTATGATACATTGGTTGGTGAGCGTGGAGGATTATTAAGTGGCGGACAGCGGCAGGTATTTTAATGATATTCTTTTGTGTTGTTATAGTGTGTTAGGTCATATCATACTTGACTCTTGCTTGCATATTCCCTTTTCAGAGGATTGCCATTGCTAGAGCTCTTCTAAAGAATGCCCCCATTCTCATTCTTGATGAAGTATGCACTTAACCAGATCTACTCCTTTGCACATTCCTATTTACTCCCTTCTTCCTATATCCTTTTGTTTTTTGGACCGTTCTATATCTTTCTCCAAGTCAAAACGAGAAGAAATATATTGGACGGAGGGGTATTACAGAGTAGATTAAAAGTAAGTCATGACTTTATTGCAGGCAACCAGTGCTCTGGACACTGTGAGCGAGCGTTTAGTACAGGATGCGTTGAACCATTTGATGAAGGGAAGGACAACATTAGTGATTGCGCACAGGCTGAGCACTGTTCAGAATGCAGAACGAATCGCTCTCTGTTCCGATGGAAAGATTGCAGAGCTGGGGACACATTTTGAATTGCTGGGTAGGAAGGGTCAATATGCTTCTCTTGTTGGCTCTCAGAGACTTGCTTTTGAGTGATCTGCTTATATATAGGATCATCCTGAAATTCCCCACAGATATATACTTGGCTCTTTGAATGTAACAAAAGAAACTAATACACTCTTACTATGTACTCGATATGAAACCAATCATCCTGAAATTCCCCATACACATCAATTCATCATTCTTGCCTTCTATTGTAATAGAAAAATGTACTCAACATGCAAAACCAATGTAATTAAGAAACAAACTGAACTTTATTCACACAGCAGATGATCTGCAATACTTTGTATAGAGTATCATTTCTCTCTATAAAAAACAGTTGGCTCACTACCTACAACAACACTGAGTATTGGGTTGGAAACCATTGTCTAAGTTGCACTTTCGTTGTACAATGTAAGAAATTATCATGTAAACCACTTAACCTTAGAAACCTAAGCACACTGGGTCAAAAAACAAACACACAAATGTGAACATACAAACTACCAGATGACTGATTCTTCTTCTTATGATCTTCCGGTACAAGAGGTGCTAGTCCAAAACACTCAACAGACGAGGGAAGACCTAAGGGAGGTGGCTGTTGAAAGACAAGTGCACGATGCCCAACGGATGACTGATTCAGTCACCATAAAGTCTAGTTCACCAAGCCCTATTGTATGGTTCCTCCTGCTGCTGTTGTGTATCCCAGGCATTCTTGATCCGCTGCCCTTTTTACCCTCACCAGCCACCTGCCCCTCATAGTGTAGTGTTGTGTCCTCCATCACAAACACCTTCCCTGAGCCACCGGCCTCTGCACACGAAAAAACAATTAAATTTCAGGAAGAGAGACAATGAGGGAAAAAAGCACTTACTCCATCTAGGAAGCTTACTCAAAAACCATTTTCTTCAAAAAATACTATACCTTTATGAAGTGAATGTTGTTGCTTGTATGGGTTTGCCAAGAAATCAAACTTAGGGCAGCCACCTCGATCAACATCAGGGGTTGGACTGGAGAATGCAAAGCTTGGCATTGAGGAAAGGGGAGTTGAAAATTCTGTGGTGCTTTGAAAAGAAAACCCGCCACCTGGCTCAAAGTAGGGAGTTAACGGTGGTGCAGGCAAGAATGAAGAAAATGATGATTGGGCATCACATGCAATAGTTGTCCCTGTCCCAAAGCTTATGTCTTCATCTCTACCCATAAACGGGGAAGAGAATAAGCCTTTATCAACGGAACATGCCTTAATTCTTCCAGCCTGTTCAGATGGCTCTTGGTGAAGTCCCAACTCGTCACTTACCCAACAATGACCTAAAGAAGTGAAAATGGCAAGGTTTAAAAAATGACTGAATACATGAAAAAGCTAAACTATTGTTTGATTGGCAATAGAACTTCGGCAGCAACTTTAATCGTGAAACATTACCCATAAAAAGGAGAAGACAGAAAATTCTTAAGGAGTCAAGTTATTAAAGAAGTACCCCGGAGTGTAATATGCATGTTCAAAATGGTTGAATATACAACAATCCCGATATAACCCCACAAAATAGGGTTCAGGGAGGGTGTGTGGACACGACAGATATCTTACCCTTACTATGAAGTAGAGAGGTTGTTTCCAAGGGACACCTGGCTCACATGCAGAAGTACGGACATAATGCACAAAGCACAAAAAAACACATGCACCCATTACAGACTAAGGCATAGAAACGCACCACGAGAAACTACAAACTAAGGCTGAGCTGTTTATCACCTAGCTACTCTAATCATAACAAACACAACCTTAGTTCATTACCTAGAATCTGCTGAGCTGTAAGCCTGTGGCAAGGATCAGTGCAAAGCATCCCCTTTATCAACTCTTTTGCTGAACAAGAAATAGAATCCCAGGGATCACAAGGAAACTGCAGATCAGCTGCCCTAACAGCATCAAATATTTTAGACTTAGTCTTCCCCCAGAATGGTGGCATCCCACTAAGGAGAATGTACAGAATAACACCAGCACTCCATATATCAGCTGCTTCGTTATAACCTCCCTTCAACACCTCAGGGGCTATATAAAACGGACTTCCAACAGTGCCACGCAAACTCTCTCCTGCATGAATAAGAAGAGGCGTTCAATCACATTTTCTTAAGCAGAGATTCCTTAGGGTCCCTTGGGAATCTGAGAAATGCTACGGAAAGAAAATATAGGACGATGAAGTCAAATTCAGAAGGAGAACAAACTTGTTGATAAAAGGACCTTGAGCAATTTTAGATGTGTTTGAATCTATTTTACTCATATATTCGGACGTTCCTTTTATATAGGGACTAAGAAACCTAAATAAATGTAAAATTTCATGTTGTAATGAAATTTGTTCTTATTTTTGTACTTTTCAAGGTCAAATAAAACATTCAACTAGTGTTCTTTTTTTTATATATTCTTTTCTTGTTTCCTTGCCATTTTCATTGTTCCAAGCATAGCATTAGGCCTTAGGGTCTGTTTGGAACCTGAAAGATAGCTTACAAGAAAATTGGGGAGGAAAAAAATGTGAGTGATTTTCCTTTTATAAAAGGCTGAAATGGAATAAAAAAACATTTCTTGATAGTATAAATGTAAATTAAAAAAATTGTTATCTATGAAATAAATGAAAATAAAATTAGGCTAAATCGAACATGTACTTTTTTACTCATTCTATTTACTTGTGTCTACTATATATTCAAACAATAATGAAATCACATCTCGTTATCCTTTGCATTTTCCAATAACAACAAAGCCAGTAAAATCCCACAAAGTGGGGTCTCATGTGCGTGCAGTCAGATTTTACCGCTACTTAGATAGTAGAGACTGTTTCTAAGACACCACCGACTCAAAACACAGGACTACAGGAGCAAAACCAAAAACAAAATAAACATAAAAAAGTCTGGGTACAGACAAAAGCGGCACACATACATAAACTAAAAACTCAGACACAAATCCCACATTCACAAGCTACACACTAATTCATAAAAGCAAACAAGCAAGACCTCTATCCTTTGCATTTTCTGTGATAAACAAAACAAAAGAAACTAACTTTGCATAGCATTTCCCTCCACTCCCTTGTATGCTCAGGGAGCAAACATAGCCTTAGGGTTATTATAGAGAAAGAGAGACTCAAAAACATACCTGGTTTTATAAATGTTGCAAGACCAAAATCAGCCAATTTAATGGGAGATGAAGAGGCTCTCGTAGCTAAGAGAATGTTTTCTGGCTTCAAATCTCTATGGACAATGCCTTTTTCATGGCAATACATCACAGCTTGCATCAGGTGGCGAAAGACAACTCTAGCCTCTCCCTCGGAAAATCTCCCATGCTTCTCTAACTGGTGAAAAAGCTCTCCTCCAGCACACAACTCCATTACTATATGCACATAATCTTCTTCCTCGTACACGGCCTTTAGATCCACAACGTTTGGATGCCCATAAACCCTGGACATTATCTCAATCTCAAGCTTAATACTCCGCACATCTTCCTCGGAGACCAATCTGCTCTTTGCTATTGACTTGCAGGCCAACACCTCCCCGGTGAATTTGTCAGAACATAGTCTGATTACGCCAAACTGTCCCCAGCCCAATTGGCCTCCAAGAACATACCGGTCTTTCAGGTCAGCAGTCTGGTTGGTGCCCAATATGGTTTCATCCAAATTCGCAACTTTATAGCAATTGCTTGGACAATATGACGATGAAGATGAATCAGTAATATTGATGCTCTTGGCAACAGCCATACGAATAATGGAGTCCCAAAGAACCAGAATACACCACTCAAGAATCCAGATATGTGATTTACTGTTCTCCGAAATGAAAAATAAAACTAACAAGGCAAACAGAGCTCATCTCCTTCACCCCAGTGACCCAGTCAGAATCAGCCGGATCTGGCAAACACAGTTGATAAACTAAAATCAAGATCAGGGAGGCACAACGAATTTGAATGTTCTACCAATTCACAACCCTAATCACTGTTCCAGAGTACATAACACAATCACCTCAAACCCGACAAACCAAATCAAAACAAAATTGAAGACAGCCCATCAATGTTAAGCAGAAAAAGACCAAAACAAGATCCAAAGTTCGATCAGAGGAGCACAAAAAAGATGAACTTTATAGCAAAGCAAAAGTACACTCAGAGAATTTGAAAAAAGGAAATGCTCCAGATAAAGCTAACAGCTAACCTTGACAGGGGAAGGAGAGAGACGGCTGAGAGAAGGAGAAAAGGTCCGGTGAGAGTCCGAAACAGCGAGACGCCAAACCCACTTTTGTGGGGCTTCTTGCTGATGGGTCTCTCTCCGCTTCTTTAGCTCGTCAAAATCTTGTTTTGTTGCTGTTGTTCTATTCTTCTTTCTTACCTGTCTGTATTGGCTGCGTCTTTTCAACTATGTTGCTCTATATCATGATTGAACCGCAATACAAAGTCCTTGGTCTATATAACGAGTAAACTTCCCCTCTCTGGTAAAATTAGTTTGATTAAATTTACTTTTAATTTAATTTAATTTATTGAGTTCTTCTTCCGCTTAAATTTAAAATATAAATCTTCTTACATATTTAATAGATTGATAAGATAATTTTTGGGACATAATATAATGCACTAAACTCCATTAATAAAGCATAAAATTTAGGATTATGTAAGAAGTTTTCAAATTTCTTTTTATAATTTCTCCGTCTAACAATGTTGTCACTCTCTGAACAACGTGCGCAATCTCATCACCTTTAAAATTATTTTAATTTCAACTTGTTCATTTTATAATTTTTAATATTTCAGTTTTATTGATTTTTTAGTAATTAATACTTAATACTTAATAATTTTTATGTACTTGTTCATTATTTTTTAAATATTTAAATTTGATTCATAATTTTTTTATATATATTTTGTGTTTAAAAAATAAGATAAAAATCTAAGATAATTACTACTTTGAATATAAAAAAATGATAATGTAGCCATATACTTGGAAAAATTTTGGGTTGAAGTTTAAGATTACTTTAATTATAAAAAAGTAAAAAATGATGTGGAGTTAGGGCCTACAAGAAAATAATAAAAAATGTGGAATAACCTCCTTGGAAGAACTTTGAGTTATGAATAACGAATAACTAAACTATGACTTTCGATTTAAGATGTCAAAATAAAAGAAGTGTGACTAAAGTTATGAAATATATTTGTACTTTAGAAATAGCATATACAAGTACCTTTTGTGTAAAACTAATTGGACCAAATAACATATAAAGTGATTTTGGAGGCATTGCGGATATTTAGAAAAGTAGGATGATTAATAAAAAATAATTGAAAAATTTTATTTTTGGCTAAATATAAATTCAAAAGATGTTCAAAACAATACACCCTTGTTTAGAGCGATGCTAAAAAAATGTTGCATGAAACATGATGTGTTTAATACTTTAACTTATAAAAAAATATAAGTACTCGTATATACTAATTCTAAATATGAAAAAAGTAAAAAATGAATAAATACTCAGGATGAAAAAAATAGTAAATATGATACTTGTAATTTAAACTTACATGTTCATTTTCCTCCCTAGGGAAATTGCAATTTTAGATAAAAATGTCTATTTGTTTTTTTTTGGAAAAGAAAAAAAAGTAAACCACACTTTTTATTATTTAATAAAAAACCACATATTTAAAGAATAGCCAATCAAAATCAGGACCAAATACGAGTCGACAAATAGAGTATTTATTTATTTATACATTAAAAAAAGGACAAATAAAAAGCGATGAAAGAAAGAAAGACATATGCTGTAAAGCACGCACACGCATACGGGAATACGGCATTACCTCACCCGGTTCTGCCGCTGTACAATTCTTGAACCCGGTTCTCAATCCGATTACCTAAGACGACGTCGACGCCAGACAAACCTTGCCGGTAAGTGGTGGCGCCGCTCCCCGATTTCCACTCGAAATCCAAAAGTCAATCCACCTCAAACTATTGTTGCCCCTTTCTAATTGATATCGATTCCGCCTCCAATTCTTATTATCAAAGGTACGATTGTATTCCTATCATGATTGGAATTGGATTGTCCAATTCGGGGTTATTATTCTTCTTTCTTTGATGTTGAATTCTGGGTATCTGTTAATTGGTGTTCGATTGCATAAATCTGGATGCTTTTCTGGTTCTTTGACTCGGTGGCTCAAGTTTGGTTATTCCTTACGCATTGAATCGATGCAGTGTTGGGGGATCTGAATGGTGCGGTTATAAAGATGGTTAAATAATCTCTGCTGTTTTAGTATATTTGATTTTTTTTTCTTTTGGAATTACACGCATGAAAAAGCACTTTTCTAATATGTTTATCTTTAGCTGATACCATGCCATAATTTCAGTTGAATTTCATGTCAATATTTATGATGATTTTATGTTGTATTAGTCCATCTTTCAGACACTGTAATCTTCTGATTTCTGCATTGCCAACATTAGTATGGCAGTTTACTAAAAAGTGTTCGTGCTTTCACTAAATTCAAACAATTTGGGGATCAAAGTCGCCATTTTTATGCTTTTCCCCGAGGGAATCCATTAAATTTTGTCTATCTACTTCCTAGCCTCACTACTGTTTATTATTCTTGAGACATTTATCAGCCCTCATCACATAGAGTGGTGGTTTATGTTAGGACTAGCCGAAGGTCCACATGGCAAAGCTAAAGAGTTCGTTTTAGTTTTAACTACTCTTTAGTTTTTTTAATGCTATTGTATGGTTAAGGGGCATCTCTGCAGATGGATTTGTTTTGACTGATTTTGTCATTTATTGATATAAGGCAATGGCACAAACGGGAGATGTCTGGGTCAAGGAATATACTGATGCAGCAAAGCTTGCTGAAGACATAACTAAAATGATATCTGAACGAAGTTCGTTGCCTGCAACTGGGGCAGAGGCTCAGCGTCATTCGTCTGCTATAAGGAGGAAAATCACTATATTAGGAACTAAACTTGATAGCTTAGGGCCTCTTTTGTCCAAACCATCTGCAAAGCAGCATTTGTAAGTCTTCGTAGTTGCAATTTTGTTTAGCTGCAGCATGTGAATACTGTCAATGCAGTTATTTATGTCCTTCCCAATCTCCATACTAGGAATTGGCATGTGTAGTCAGGCTTGTTTCATTACCTAAGTTCCTACTCATAATAGCTTTAACGCTTATAGATGTTCCTTCATTTCATTTTTTGAGGGAGTTCTGTTTTTCAAAACGTCTTTGTGTGCATATAATATGTTTCAGCCTTAAGCAGCTTAGGGTCACGGATAGGATTATGTAGACCGTGCCTTATTTGAGAACTTTGTTAAATCCTATGCAAGCTTACAAATGACACATCATGTTTGATTTCTATTTTGTTGGTAGAATTAGCTTAGAAGCAGTTTTGTTATCACATTTGATCACATGGACTGACTATATAGTTTCTTATTGCAGGAGTGATAAAGAGAAGAAACGCCGCCAGGACATGCTTGCGAATTTAAAAACAAAAGCAGATCAGATGGCATCCACTTTGAACATGTCCCATTTTGCGAATAGAGACAGCTTACTTGGACCAGAACAAAAGCCTGTGGATGCGATGAGTAGAACAAATGGTCTCGACAATTCTGGTATTGTTGGTCTTCAGCGACAAATAATGAAAGGCAAGTTGTAAATTTTTTTCACAATAAAAGACAAATTTGACCAAACTTGTGGCATATGTTTAAGTGTCTTGGTGTTTCTTGTACACAGAACAAGATGAAGGCCTGGAGAAGTTGGAGGAGACAGTAATAAGCACCAAGCATATTGCACTAGCTGTCAATGAAGAACTTAGCTTGCAAACAAGACTCATTGTACGTGTTTTCCTTACCATCTATTCACAATTGTTGACATCTGGTTTGGTTGTCTCTAAGCTATCTTTGCAAACTCATAAAAAATGTAGCATCCTGTGATGAGTTTAATCCATGATTCTGTGTCTCACTCAATGCAGGATGATCTTGACGAACATGTTGATATTACAGACTCCCGCCTACAGGTGACATTCGTGTTTCATAATTCTCATGGAATCATTTTTCTTTTACTCCAATAAATAGCATTTTTTATACTTTGTGTATTAGTTCAGCTCTTCATAATGCAGTAGGAATGAATTAATGCAATAGGATCTTCATGAAAAAACTTATGTCTTTGTTTTCATTTTTGAAATCTAAGTTGCATGGCTCTTTCCCTATAAAATTTAGTAGTATGATTTTATTTGCCCGATTCCCACTGCTTAATAATTTCTAATCCCTCTATATTCTAAGTTTCCTAACAATGCACTATATAGTCGAACTGCTTTTATATCAATATGCCAAAGCATGATAGCTATAACCTATATCGAATATACAAGTTTGTAAAGATTTTTTCTGATTCTCGTTGTGATATGTACTTCAATTTCATAGTAAATCCTGTGTATAGATTTTTCGAATGTTTTTTTTTAATGATTTTTGGGGGGATTTTCCTCAACAAATGACAGCGAGTACAAAAGAGGCTTGCAGTATTAAGCAAGCGCACGAAGGGCGGCTGCTCCTGCATGTGCATGCTTTTCTCCGTCATCGGAATTGTGGCTCTCGTCATCGTCATATATTTGCTGTTCAAATACTTGTAATGATGCCCATATCCACATGTATGGAATTACAACAAAAGCCTCCTTAGCTTGTTTTCAAGGATGGATTGTGTGCATGTCTTTCTGTTTTTTGCTGTCTGGTGAATTGGACAGAGTTTGGATCTAAATGCAATACATATATGCCTTTGAGTGTGTCTATAGTACTTATAATATAGTGTGCTCTGCTGCTGTATTTCCCTTTTTACCCTTCCCCTTAACTTAATACACAAACTGGGTTTGAATTCATATATAGTAGCATGAACAAAGTTTAAACCCACACTGTAAATCCGGTGCCACTGTAATTTTTTGATGTAAAAATAAAAGCATGAATGAGAGTTGGTAAGTATGGTCAGCATTGTACGTTACGAGACAGGTGGGAGTTAAATAGAAATAGAGTTATTGCGGCGAAGAGCCAAGTAAAGAGTGACCGTTTCTGCATGCCCAACCATATGCCATTATTTCAACCTTTATTTATCTTTTTTTTTTAGCATCCCATCTTTTCATGAAACTTAATTAATATACTTGTTTATTTCTTGTATTAAAAAAAATTAAAAATTAAAAATAAAATATACTTGTTTACCTGTAAGGTTTGGATTCTCAACCCCCACTCTTTATTTCTCTTCTAATGGTATTTACCTCAATATAATATCTTGGATTTGTTTCTTTTTTTTGGTTCGAATTTATTATGTACTTAGTATATTTTTATTTATCGTGAACGTGTTACGGCCAACGTTCTTTTTCTTTTTTCTGTATAAGCCATCATTATAATTTTTTTAACCTTTTTAATTTTCGTATCTCGTCAAAAATGGGTACACCGAATAAAATAGTGTAAAGGGAATACTACGTATTATTTAATTCATGGGGTGCCTAGCTAGCCACCTATATAGTTCGATCCACTCTTTAATTGACTCTCTTTTTATATTGTTGTGTATAAAAAGGTGGCTAGGTTTGGTTTAGTTACCACTTAGAATAATAATAATAATAATATAATCTAACAAAATTCTTTCATCCACGAAAATTTTCCATCCGTGCATAAAAACAACACAAAGTCTTAGAATTACAACCTTTGTTTTCTTGATCAATTTATCAATATTATACAATTACAATATACGAGTATATATATAATAATTACTCAGTATAAATACATATTAACATGATTCGTTCATCTCTCTTTGCATTTCTCTTCTTCATTTCTTCTTGTTTCTCCGAGCAAGGTACGTACCAAAATACAGAGTAATTTTATGAGTAAAAAATGGGTCTCAAACAAATTAAATTCATTGCCTTAATTTTTTTCAAAGCAACAAATATAAATAAATTCAACACCAGATCAGATCTATATTCGATGATTTGTACATAGCAATAAAATTGAAAAGGCATACTTTTATTCAAAAAATGTTTCTCCTAATTAACAAAAAGGTTTCTTTTAGTTCTGAAAGCAAAACGTTTTTAAATTGGTGGTGGCAGCACCGTATGCGTCGTTTGCCAAGAATGCAACGTCAGCTCCGACGACAGAATACTTCGACTACATCGTCATCGGCGGCGGAACGGCGGGGTGTGCATTGGCGGCGACCCTGTCGGAGGGGGCAAAGGTGTTGCTGCTAGAGAGAGGCGGCCTGCCGTACGGAAACCCCAACATAACCACCCTAAACGGGTTCGCCAGAACCCTGGCCGACACGTCGCCGGACTCGGCCTCCCAGCTATTCGTCTCCACCGACGGCGTTTTCAACCACCGAGCGCGCGTCCTGGGCGGGGGCTCCGCCTTGAACGCGGGGTTCTACACGAGGGCGAGCGCGGGGTACGTCGAGAGCGCCGGGTGGGACCAGGCGCTGGTCAACGAGTCGTACGAGTGGGTGGAGAGGAAGGTGGCGTTTCAGCCGCCGATGCTTGCGTGGCAGTCTGCCGTGAGGGACGGGCTTCTAGAAGCTGGGGTGTTGCCGTACCACGGGTTTACCTACGAACATCTCTACGGTACTAAGGTCGGGGGTACGATATTCGACGAGAATGGGTATCGGCACACGGCAGCTGATTTGTTGGAGTATGCTGATCCCGCCAAGATCACTGTCTATTTGTATGCTACCGTCCATAAAATCTTTTTCAGGAAAGATGAACAAGGTGAGTTTTGTTAGAATATAAAAAACGATTTCTGGACCACGTACAATCATAAGTTTGAGTTTTTGATTGAATTGGTTCTTTGATTCGTATCGGAGCCTAGTTGACTAAGAGATCACGGGTTCGAAACTCCACGTCACCAAATTTTTAAAAAAATATGGTTGTGAGACTAAAATTTGTTGTGTGAATGCAGGAGATCCTCGAGCATACGCGGTGTTCTACAGGGACTCAAGCGGCAGCCGGCACCTGGCCTACCTGAACAGCGGGGCGGAGAATGAGGTCATCCTGTCGGCGGGGGCGGTGGGGAGCCCGCAGATGTTGATGCTGAGCGGGATCGGATCGGCCCAGCAACTGAAAGCCCATAACATAGAGGTGATCCTGAACCAGCCCATGGTGGGGCAGGGGATGTCGGACAACCCGATGAACGCGGTGCTGATTCCTTCGCCCCGGCCCGTTGAGGTCTCGCTGATTCAGGTGGTGGGTATCACACACTTTGACAGCTACATAGAAGCCGCCAGTGGGTCCCTTGAGTTGGCTTGGATGCAGAGAATGGCTGCTGACTTTGAAAGGCTTGCAAATCTGGTTAGCCCTTGCCCTTCCTATATGTTTTTGAGTTTTTACCATTTCCTTGACATGAAGTTTGATTAATTGCTTCACTGGGATATATATGATGATGATCTGATCTCATCCAGAGCAGCAAGGCAATGAAGATGCCAACAAACATTACTACCTTAATAACAAACACAACAACAGAGGGAGGAAAGATGAATGTGGCGAGCCCATACATAGAGGCGAGCGTGCAGGCGGGGATAATCCTGGAGAAGGTGGCGGGCCCATTCTCAACGGGGTACATGGAGCTCCAAAGCAGGGACCCGTCCGACAACCCGAGGGTCACCTTCAACTACTTCAAGGACCCACGCGACTTGCAGAGGTGCGTGGAAGGTCTAGAGATCATCTCAAGGGTAATTCAGTCAAGATCCTTCTCCAGGTTCCGGTACCCTCTCACGTCGTCCCAGTCTCTCATCGCCGCCATGCTCACCCTGCCGCTGAACCTCAGGCCCAAACATGTCGCCGCCGCGGTGTCGCTGGAGCAGTTCTGCATTGACACCGTCATGACCATCTGGCACTACCACGGTGGGTGCCAGGTCCGTAAGGTCGTGGACAGAGATTATAGGGTCATCGGTGTCAAGGCTTTGCGTGTTGTCGATGGCTCCACCTTTATCAACTCCCCCGGAACCAATCCTCAAGCCACCGTCATGATGCTCGGAAGGTACGTATTATGTACAGAGTATTTAATGTTAGAATGATCAGACCTACAATTACGTACAAGCTTGAGCTTTTGCTTGAGTTAGTCTTTTGACATAATATGAAAACTTTATTGATCAAAAGGTGAATTGGGCTTCGCTTGGTACACGGAATTCCAGTCATGGAATTGGGAACTGTAATTCCAATTCTGCTCTTTGGTAACACAAAAATATGTGGATTTGGACTTAGTAGTGCAAAGAGTGAATTGAAATTGGAGAATTCAATTTCATCCAATTCAATTCTATAGAATTTTAATTCCAATTATGTCAATTTTGCGTAACAAAGGGATCCTTAAGGTTTTTGTTCATTTTTTAAATGTTCATTGATGCAGGTATATGGGAAGGAGAATCTTGGAGCAAAGAGCAAATTCCCCAAACCCAAAGTTAAACAAGATTGTTAATTAATATGGAACTTCAGATTTTGTATTTGAATCACATATTTCATCTGATCTCATGTATGTGTATACATTATTGGCATATATATGGACAATCATTCTTAGATGAGTTAGATATACTAGTAAGAATTATAAAAATTATAGTACGGAGTATTATACTACTAGATTCGTGTAAGTATCGTTGTTGGTTCGTCTCGTGAGTCGTGATAACAACAATAGTCTCTCTATTCCAACATCAACATGCTTCAAGCTTTACATTGTAAAAGATGTTTGATTAAAAATATAATTGTATTGTAAGAATTAAATTTACCTTGAAAATATATTTTAAAAAAACTAGAGGGTAGTCGCATAAAAATTTCCCAAAAAAATTGTGGAAAAATAAACGGAGTAGAATTTATAATGGGACTGATGAAAAAAAATATAAAATTTTTTTTTGTAAAATTTATATTAAAATATATTACAAAATCCTTCATAAATTACTAAATAAATGCTACCACTAATTTCATTCAAAATGGCAGATGTTTTTTGATAGAAGCTCTTTTTGATACTCTTATTAACAACGCTAGATGTGAGAAACACACATAACACCTCAATTAATTTTATTATTATTAATATCACTGTTGTTGCTTTTAGTAGTACTGTGTTTTATTTGCTAGTCGGTAGAAGAAAGAGGCAAATTATGTGTACTTTAAGGGAGAATAAACACTTCAAAAAAGAATTAATGAACGCTTTTAGATGTAAAAGAATTAATGACATTATTATTAAACACAGCTAGCTGGGACTTCTAATCAAATAAAGCGCTTTAATATAGAAAAAACATTTTTTTGTTTACACTTCAGTTAATCATGAAAAAGGTATAAAATATCTAGCTTTCATCTTTTACTATTAAAATGCATAGTTATAGTCTTAACTATTTAAACTCATTTTATTCACTTGAGAAATTGCACAAATAACAAGTTTGTGTCCAAATTATTTGTGATTCTAACATTAATCTAAGGATTAACCCCGGTCCACTCTTAAGATCTTCTCATATTTGGTTACACAATTACTTAGGGAAACAACAAACTAAACTACTCGTACAATATTGGTTTGACAAATAAAGTTACCCGAACATTAATTACTTTTTTACCCCGTGATTTTCGGTGGTTAATTGAGTCAGTCAGTCAACACCGCACTCACTCAAAGAGGTGGGAAACTTTTCTACTTTTCCCACACACCACACATGACACAACAAGGCCAATACTTTACCAAAACCCGACATACCAAAAACTAGGAAAGTGGCCCAACATAATCATCATCCTCCACAAACCTTTTTTTCTTACGCGGAGGAGAGCAGACTATAGTAGAGTACATACACTATATTCTTCATCAACCTTATGGGGAACTCACTTTTGACACCATAAGTTATTTTAGGGAGATAATTATTGTCTGTGTTTTCTTTTGACATCAAAAGTGGTGTAAAAAATGAGATTCCCCCCATCTTTTTTCCTTTAAACTAGCTAGATATGGATGGCTACAACTTTACTCTCTTTCTTAGCCACTAAGCATTCATTCACATTTCGTTCAGATCATCTTCTCCATTAACGAAACCCATCAAACCTCACACCTCTTCCCCCTCCTTTCTCATACTCACCTCTCACCCACGTACTCATCCCACTCCACCAGTCCACCACCGTACCACGCATCATACAATGCCTAGCGCCGCCGCCGCCGCCATTATGGCTAGAGACGAGGACGACGACGGCGACAACCCAGCTGAGCTTTCGTGCTTTCACGCACTCTGCCCCAACCCCCTCCACAGGTCTCAGCTGGAGCCGCTGAACGGCGGCGGGGCCCGCAAAGACAACAGCGGGTCGTCGAAGCAGCCGAGAAACACGTCTTCCGCCTACCGGCACGATTTCACGGACACGACCGCGTCCTCCCTCTTCCCCAACACCCACTTCACCGACTTCGAATCTCTTCCGTCCATCCAAGAGTCCTTCGCTCAGTTCATCACAGCTTACCCTCTCTACTCCCAGACCAAACAGATCGACACCATCAGAGCTCAAGAGTACTACAACCTCACCCTCTCCAAACACGTCTGTCTCGATTACATCGGGATCGGCCTCTTCTCCTACGCCCAGCAGGTCCAGGCATTCCCCCAATTCCCCGTTTCCTCCCCATCTTCTTCTTCTTCTCCGAAGCAACACGGGTCCCTCGATTTTCCCACCACTTTCTTTGATATAACATTCAACTCAGTGAACTTGAAGTCCCATTTGTTGAACGGCGGGGATGAATCGCCGCTGGAGCGCGGGATCAAGAGCAGAATCATGGATTTCCTCAACGTGTCCGAGAGAGATTACTCCCTAGTTCTGACCGCGAACAAGTCCTCGGCTTTCAAACTGGTGGCGGAGTCTTACCCTTTCCAGACCAACAGGAAGCTGCTGACGGTGTACGACCACAATAGCGAGGCACTGGACACAATGGTGAATGCGGCGGAGAAGAGGAGAGCCCAGGTGTCGTCCGCGGAGTTCAAGTGGCCCCGGCTCAGAGTCCACGCGGAGAACCTGAAGAAAGCAATCTTGGGGAAGAAGAAGAAGAAGAAGGGGGAGAAGGGGCTGTTCGTGTTCCCTCTCCAGTCGAGGGTGACGGGGGGAAGCTACTCGTACCAGTGGATGAATCTGGCGCAGGAAAACGGGTGGCATGTCTTGCTTGATGCATGTGCTTTGGGACCCAAGGACATGGACAGCTTCGGTCTCTCTCTTTTCAAGCCCGATTTCCTCGTCTCTTCCTTTTACAAGGTTTTCGGGGATAATCCCACCGGGTTCGGCTGTTTGATTGTCAAGAACTCCGTTGTCTCCATTCTCGAAGAATCAAAAACAGCTTGCATTGTGTCCCTTGTGCCACAAACCCCGCAATTCCATTCACCGGGTAACAAAAAGGAAAAAAAATAACTGCCGCGCTATAAAATTTGTTCTATAACCATTAGCTTAATCAAAACTTTTGATTGAACTCATTCCTAGCTCTAATATGTATTTGAACCTCTAGAGTATATTGCCTCACACCCTAAACCCAGGCTAAGAAAAGACTAATACGGAGTATATAAGAATATGAATGATTTTTTGTTGATTGCCTAATAGTTTTGGATTGAAATCTCATAATATTTTACATGATATTTGAGTCTGTTCAGGACATGACAACTTGAATCAAAAGACCAAAGTTGAACTTGAAGGGGAAGTTAAAATCTCAAAATTCTATATAATTATACTTGTATGGTGTTTGCTTGCTCTAAGAAGGAAAAAAAAACATATTGAGTAAATGGATTTATTTTGGGAATTCAATCAAAAGCTTGAGTTTGTGTTTGTAAGTTCAGAAAATGTTATGTACTCTAACAGTTTAAACGATTAATTGAATGCCTGCAGAAGTGGAATGCAAGTGCTTGGATCAAGTGGACTCATTGGGATTGATGGTGGTGAACAAGAGAAGAAAATACCTCATCAATTGGCTGGTGGCGGCGCTGACGAAGCTGCAGCATCCGAACAGGCTGGACGGGTTTCCCCTGGTGAGAATCTACGGCCCCAAAATCAAGTTCGACAGAGGACCGGCTTTGGCATTCAATGTGTACGACTGGGAGGGAGAAAAACTTGATCCCACCTTCATACAGAAGCTGGCTGATCGGCACCACATATCCCTCAGCCAAGGGGTTCTGAACAACATTTGGTTCCAAGACAAGTACCAAGAAGAGAGGGACAGGATTTTGGAGAAGACGAAGACCGAAAAACAAGGGGAGAGCAGGGACAACAAGGGAGCCAAAGGGATATCGGTGGTGACCATTGCCCTGAGTTTCTTGGCTAACTTCGAGGACACTTACAGGTTTTGGGCATTCATTGCTCGGTTTCTTGATGCAGATTTCGTGGAGAAGGAGAAGTGGAGGTACACTTCTCTCAACCAGCGGAATGTTGAAGTGCTATAGTAGTAGTTTTTTTTTTTTTTATCGGCATTCACTCTTATAGGAATTGTGTCGAGCACTTTGTGTGCACAACCAAATCATTCTGTATACGAGTATCCTGGCGGGAGAGATGAGTTACCCTTTGAACTATACTGGAGTACTTTGGATTATAACCAATAATTAATCTTAAATCAATTAACAACCAACGCAAACGAGATTCTTGCAGTCTCTACTCTTTAGGCCATATTTCGAACTTTCAGCTAATTGCAGCAAATACCCATGTGAACATAATACTCCCTCCCTCCCACAACATTACCCATTTTAAATAGTACGGAGTATTTGGTCAAAAAATTACATAGTTTGACTATAAATTGTGACAAAAGTATATTAAATTATAATATAAATTTAATATAATTAAATTAATCTTAGATCTAGTTTTGATATATCAAATCTTTATAACATTTATTTATTTAGATTATATTTAATTTATGATTAAAACGTGTAACTATTTGACTAAAAATACATTTAAATGGGTAATATTTTGTGGAGGGATTAGAACATAAGGAGTTATATCCTGTGGACAGGATCTCAAACAGATCTTTTCGTCACACTTAACTTACATCTAGCCAAATGAATATAGTGATTTTTTTTTTGAAAAAAAAATGAATATTGTGATTTAATTGCATTAACAACCTAATTATCTTCTTGAACTTTTTAACTTTTAAGTAGATTTTGGACAAAAATACTCTTTCAGTCTCAAATTTTTTGTCATGTTTCGAATAACATTTAAGAACTCATTTATTTTAAAATTATTTTAATTATAAAATAGTATAGAAAATAAAATTATGATTTACGTATTTAAAAATAATAAATAGTGACATGTTTATTTTATTAAGTGAATAGTTCTGGTGTCCACGTGGGTTGAGAAATGAGTACCTATACTTTCCCTCTTTTCAAAATTTGCCTATAAAATTCTCAGCGTTTAAGAAGATTGCATGCATTTGTGCCCCTTCCCCTCTGAATTTCCGGCATTTGAATTTCACGCTTCGGGAGGGCCACTTGAATTTAATAATGGGGGCAGTAGTTGACAAAAATTAGTTTCGAACCATAGATTTTCTGGTAATAACTCTCAGGTCTCACATTATGTAAAATATATTTAGGGGTAACTTTGACCTTTTTGGTAATAAATCTCAAGCCCCACATTATGCAAAATATACTCTAGGGTCTTTAATATTTGTAATATTATACTCAGAGGGTACATTCTCTCAATTTAAGAGTTAGATTAAAAGTTCTTATATTTTGACAAATTGAAGAATTTTATTTAAATTTAATAACATAATGATTATCAATGTGAAATTTAGTATTTGTCAAAGTAATAAGATTTTTAATCATAACGGTCAAATAAACAGAATGTACCTTCGAAGTACATCACCACAAATTTTAAGAATCCCTAGCGTATATTTTAGATAATATCGGACCTGAGAATTTTTACCAAAAAATCAAGGGTACCACGGAGTATATTTAAGATAATATGGGACCCTGGACTTATTATCATAAAATCAAGGATGTCTCAGAGTAATTTTATGTAGTAATTAGTGCCCATTTTGCAAATTATATGGGCAATGTCACCTATTTTCCGTTCATTATTTTTTTACTTTTTTGTTTCACCACCAAGGTTCTCATGACATTGCCCGGCAATGTTATGGGATGACCCGGGGCCGCTCTGGTGCCCCGTTCGTAAAATTGATGGTTCCTACCCCCCCTAACCCACTGGTAAACCCCCCACCCCACCCCAACCTGAACACACCCCCCACCCCTCCAGTTGCACCCCACAAGTTGATTTTGATTTAGGAGTCAAAATTAACATGGGATGGTTCTCATGACATCGGAATTCCATGTCATGGGATGATTCGGAACCACTATAGTGCTTCATTCGTAAAATTAATGATTCAAACCCTTTAGCTCCTTCAGTAAATCCTTCTTCCACCCTGTCTCGACCCGAACACACCATCCACTCTAGATCTCCAATTGCACCCTCCAAGTTAATTTTGACTTTGGAGTCAAAATTAACTTAGAGGTGCAATTAAAGGGGTGGGGGGTGTGTTTGGGTTGGGGTGAGTAGGGGATTAGGGGGTAGGAACCGTCAATTTACGAACGGAACGCGGAGCACCATAATGGCTTCGGCTCATCCCATGACATGGGATTGCGATGTCATCCCAACCCAACCCCTCCGAATTAACATATATACTACTCCCTCCGTCCCTGAAAACCTTTCTTCTTTCTCTTTTCATCGGTCTCAAAAAACACTTCTTATTTCTATTAAAAAGTCACTTTTACCCCTTACTTTTTCATACTCTACCTATCAGATCATACTTTTTTACTAATAATCTACCTATCAAATCCTACTTTTACTCATCCAATCAAAAGACTTTTTTAGAAATTCAATACCAAAATACGCTTTCCTTAAATTTCTTAAAAATCAATATATATAACTCCATGTTTTTAGGACCGGAGGGAGTACTTCGTACATCCAATCACTTTCATTAAGGCAAAAATGGATATTTTCATTAGTTTTTCAACTCCGATTACTTCTGCTAACTTATCATTTTAAAAAAATTAACTCAAATAGGACTAAAATATAACTCGTATCCCTAAAATATGAGTTTCATATTTTTTCTTCGAAACAAAAGTTTGCACTATAATATTGTGGCACTGTATATTACCCTTTCACAATGTTTTTTGAATTATATATTGACATTATTGGTATTGTAAGTTTTTTAATGATAAAATATGAAACTCTTATTTTGACTTTTTCTCTATGTTTTACACCTATTTTTGTATTTCCCCCATCATTCTATGTACTCCCTTCTAATTCGTTCCAAAAAGAACTACACATACAATTTGACTCTTTTGGTCAAATTGTCGAACACTTTTACAACAAAATAAAGATAATTATAAATAATTTAATTTTATAACAATTTGATAGGGCAAGATTATAATTTAAAATAAATCAAACTTTTATTAAATTTATATTATAACTAAATATATTTTATTTCAAAATTTGTAGTCAAAGTGTAATACATATATCTTGAGAGAAAACACTCAAATTGTGATGATCTTTTTAAGATGGAGGGAGTAAAATATTTTTGTTTGTCAAGAATTAATACTACAATTATAATTTATAAGTACCAAATTTAATTTCCAAAATTTTACAGTTTCTACTAGTACTAGTGTACTACTTCATCTGTTCCTAAAAGTCTAATTTTTAAAAAATACGTTATTATTCGTACTAATTATTATCTTACCTATGACAATATATCTAATGACTAATATTTTATTTCTCATATAGTACTTTTATATATCACATTAAAGAAAATTTGAGAGAGCACAAAATTATTTTTTCCCCTAAAATTTCATGATAAACGTCTGAAAAAGAAAGAGATATATGGAGGAGAGGGAGTACGAAATACCATGAAGTGCACTATAGGAGTAGTAAATTTTGCTAAAACGAGATAAAAAAGAGGTTTAAAGCGGACATCATTTTTGATAAATATATATATTCCGTATTATTTACACAGTAGTAAATAATAAGTAGTGTAGGGAGTAAGTTTGCGTGCTTGCTAGGTCATTTATGGAGAATGGGGAATATTATATTTACATAGCATAAATGGAAATAAATACGGATCGATGATGATATATCCGAATCACTATTTTTTACTAATTGGTTTCTGTGGTCTCAAACTCACGTACATACATGATTATATTCGATCTTCTTCATCAAATAAGTGGAGTACTATATATTTCCTTTATCTTCAACCCTAACATTCTTATTATTTCTTTACTTTCCCTAATTAATTAAAGCTATCTATCTGAATCTGATCGATCTGGCTTTAATTTTAGGGTTTCCAGGCAATTTTCTTGGAAATAAAATCAAAGTATCTATCTATCTGTATAAATTAAAGAAAGAAAGAAAGAAAGGGAATTATATATATATATATATATATATATATATATATATATATATATATATATATATATATATATTTCNAGGGAATTATATATATATATATATATATATATATATACTGTATAAGATCGATAATGGGGAGAGGGAGGGTGGAGATGAAGAGAATAGAGAACGGGACGAGGCGGCAAGTGACATTCTCGAAGCGGAGAAAGGGACTGTTCAAGAAGGCTTCTGAGCTCTCTGTGCTTTGCGATGCTCAAATAGCTCTCATCATTTTCTCCCCACAGGGAAAGCTTTTTCAGTACTTCTCTTCTTCCTCCTCCTCCTCCAAGTATGTATGTATGTTCGTTTCTACATATATTTCATTCATTCTTCTCTTTTAATATGTCTATCTATTGATGATCCATCATCTTAAATTCTTAATAATGAAGCTGCTTGATTAGATTTAACAAAACTAAAATTCAAGAAACAACATATTTTTTGATGGATGGGCATCGATCTGCACTGAAAGTACGATAATCATATCAATGAGCTAGCTGTGTTTCATTCATTATATTTGAGGAGCTATTTACTGATTTGATTTGATGAACCACTATTGTACTACGTTGTACTTTTATTGTTTTTGTAAATAGGAGTATATGATATGAACAATATATGTAATCATGAAAGTATCTTTAATACCTAATTAATAAGTACATACTAAGATCTTGTGTCCTCGCTAGCTTAGCTTACCCCCCTGTTGCTGTCTCGATCATATATCATGGTGGTGCAAACTACGACGACATGTTGTGAATTGAATTAACTAGGGTAATTTTAAAATAAAATAAAAACTATATTTAGTGAATAAACAACTCATATATATAGTGAAACATGAAGTATGAACAATGTTTAGTAGTTCTAATCTAGTTTCCATAGAGTTGGGGCCTTTGTGGAATTATATATAACACGTTTCTACCTAAATAAACCATATCTCACACGAAATTACCCTCATTAATAACTAGCTTGGGAGGATATTTTGGTGAAATCTAATTGAACAATTACTATTTATTAGACAATAGTAATATGATAATTGTCTCTATTATGTTAGTCTTTGTATTTTAATAACTTCTATCATTGATTTCTAGTCTTAATTGGGGCTGAACTCCTTTCTACATATATTTTGTCATGTATTTCATTATTTCTTGAGTAATACGAGTATTTCTTCATTCAACATGGTATCAAAGCTAACGTTCTTGATGAACTAAAATCCTCTGCATTCTCTTTTGGGGAGCGGCGCTGCCATTAGCCACTCGCCGACCCATTATTCTTCTCCGATCAATATTCTTCACCAAACCAGAAAATTCGCCCATAATACCATCCACCAAAATCAAACGGAAAAAATAAAGCATATTTTCTTCATCCACATCCAACCCTACCTTAAATTTGCCCAATCCCAAATCTCATAATTATCGTCTTCACCATATTTGAGCTAGTGTGGTTGAAATACTCAAAAGCTGCATTTTTGTATTTCTTCTAGAATTTGAGAAAGTGAAAACGATAGAGAAGCAGAGAATGACCCAAAATGAGAAAAAAAAGAGAAAAACATCTTGCACTCGTTTTAATCGCCAACACTCTCTACCAGACAAAACATTAAGCACACGCACTCTCAAGTTTGCTCGTCACGCAACGAAGATCTTCTCTTTACTTCTAGCAGACTTACTCACGAAAGCGTTATCTTCTCCGCGATTCCAGAATCTTGATTCCAAGCTTCCACTCTAGACACGAGTTCAACTTAAGGGGGATATTAGACAATAGCAATAATTATCCTTCTGTATATACTCTGTCATGTATTCTACTCCCTCCGTTTGCAAAAAAGCTTCCTAGTTCGACTTGGAGCCAAAATAAGGCTTGGTATTTGGGCTTTGACCTTCCCATTATACCCTCCTAGCATGCACGTGGGTATGGAAGAGGAAGCTAAAAGGGAATGGTTCAATTAATGCCAATAGTACTCAATTAATGATTACAAATAGTGTTTTGTTTTCACTTTTCACTTACCACATTGTTTAGTCCATGAAAATAGAGGGAGATTCCAAAAAAAAATTAGTTTGGGAAAAATTTAAAATTCCCTCCACACAATTTCATGTACACCCCAAACTTCTTCAATAAATACACAATGAAAGTCTAAAATTAAAGACAGTCTACCCAAAATACTCCTGCACTTAATGTGGTCAGTCTTTATCTTTTTCTTCCTTTCCATTAATGGCAACCGAGTTCTTCCCCACACAAGACGTTGATTCTGCTTTCGATGGCGATTCCTCTGTTGACCCCTTGCCGCCGCTCCTGGATGTTCCTTTTGCTTTCAGCACCCCTGAAACAGTTAATTCAAAAAATATATCTAGTGTACACGCAAGAGATGAATGAAGGAAAAAGATTGTTGATGTAATTCTACAAAAGTTAAACAATGGCAAACTTCAGCAAGGCTCAATTAAGGCAGTGGCAGCTCAGTTTAACATGTCAGATCGTTGGGTTGGAGAGCCATGGAGAATTGCTAAAGGTCAATTGGTGAGGGGCCAAGCTATAAATGTTCAATGCAGGTTGCAGGGTAATGTAGGAAAGAAAAGTAAGGTTGTGGACTTCTCAAAGCTGAGTGAAATTCCATTTCACCAACGAAAGACTTTACGTGCTATAAGCCATTGCATGAATGTCTCGACTAGTACAGCTCACAATTGGCTCAAGGAAAATAAAATAAGAAGACATTCAAATGCCATTAAACCCCTTCTGTGTGAAAATGGGAAGTTAAAGAGACTCAGGTATTGTTTGTCTCTTATTTCTCCCACATCACTGCCAAACAACCCCACATTCCATGACAGCTATAACTACATACATATAGATGAAAAGTGGTTTAACTTTAGCAATGAAACAACTTTTATTGCCTGATGAGGAAGAACCATACAGAGCCACATAGTCCAAAACACACATTTCCAAGATTATATTTTTGGCAGCTCCCAGATTTGGGGATGATGGTGAAGTGTTATGGGATGGAAAAATAGGCATATTTCCATTCACATATGAGGAAACATCCCAAAGGAGTAGCAAAAATAGGCCACTGGTACAATGGAAATCAAGCCAATACCAATGATTACAAGAAATGTGATGAGAAACATGATGGTACAGCAACTACTACCAGCAATAAGGGAAAAATATAATGGCCAGGCACAACCAAACATGTACTCATACAATAGGACAATGCTAAATCACATGTTGATATTAATGACCCAGAATTTGTGAGTGTTGCAAAGGAAGGTGATTGGGATATTCAATTACAGTTTCAACCCCCAAACAGTCCAGATTTGAATGTGCTTGACCTAGGGTTCTTTAGGGCTATTGATGCAATTCAGGAAAAAATTGCATCCAAGACAATGGGTGACTTGATTGGTAATGTTGCAAGAGCTTTTGACCAACTCACCCCACAAAAACTAAACCATGTCTTCTTAACTTATCAGCTGGTCATGGGTGAGGTCCTCAAGCATAAATGGGGTAATGACTTCAGAATACCTCATATTGGGAAAGAAAGGTTAGTCAGACAAGGATTGCTGCCACTCTTGGGGTGACATTACATTATAACAATTCTCCTATATTTTGGAAATGAATAGGTTTGCATCATTAGTTTGCCAACAAAATCAAGATGAAAGACAACATGCAAGGACATATACATAATATATATCAAGGACAGAAGATTAAAGGACATTACTGTGGCGAAATCGTTGGAGTTTGGAGGGACTTTCTACCGGTTCAGCAAATAATATCTCCGTATCGGAGGTCATTTCTCTAATCTCTTTAGTGGTAATTGATTCATCTTCTGATTCACCTTCTTCACGTTCCAGATCTGAACTCCACTCTACTCCATCCGGTAGATGGTCACCTCCGTGGTACTTTTTCTGGTAGTTCCAAGATGGATCGGTGTCAGATGAATCCGATGGAAGGACATCTTCATCACCATTAAAGGAACGGATTGACACAATCCCTTTATGAAACGATGGAAAGACATCCTTATCAGGGCTGAAGGAACCACCGAAAATCTTTCTCTTGGGGCGACAACCTTTCTCATCGCTATTAGTTAGCAAGCAAAACGAGGGCATGGAAGGATCTGGAGAAGATGGAACGCCGGCCATGGAAGGATGTGGAGAGAATGGGTGGTGAAGAGATAGGGTAGCGTGAAAGGACAGAGACAGGTGTAAGAAACATGTGAAATAACCGAGGGGGAATAAATTAGGGTAGGGGAGTATTTTAGAGATTTTAAATGGAAGAGGAAGTGTTTTGTTGGAAGTGAAAATTTTGAAAAAGGAAGTGTTTTTTAAGAACGGAGGGGGTATTATTCTTGAGTAATTACTTCCTTCTTAGCTCCCTAAAAATAACTTGCAAATCGTTTCCTCGATCAAGAAGTTATTTAGCTATAACAAGAAACAAATCTTTTATGAAGTTTTTGATACGTGTGTTCTTGAGGATATATACGGGTCAAGAGGATGGAGCATATATGTAAGGGGAATATGAAGTGCGAAGGAGATTGAGTTGCGCTAAGAGACCGCCACCTCGGTTCAAAGATTATGTTGAGTAGAACTATAACACTTTTTCGAGGAAGATTTCTTTTTGCTTTGATGTTTTTTTGAACTGACATGACTAAGTTTTATTGTTTTGTAAGGAAACGTTTTCTCTATCATCCATAAATAGGGAAAGATTTCTTACGAGAATAATTAGAAAGTAATAAAATAATTTAAATAGCACCAAAACATAATGACTTTCTCTAAATAGGATCACATGTTTTTTTTCTCAATTGATTACTTTTACTCATTATCCATTAGTCATTATTCGAGTAAATTTTTGCCATCATTGGACATTATGGATATTATTAAGTGATATTTAGGGAATAAAACTGTTTAAGTACTATTTAGAGAAATGACTTAAATTTTAATGTTATTTAGTGCAAATATTTCTAAAACATCTTTCTCTTTCAAACCCTAAACCTTATTTCGATGGTCTGTCTACTAGCAATTATCATATGGTTTCCTCTGCTCTACAAGACACAACAACACGCCAGTGTGAATGGTCGGATTTCTACTCAGATGTCTCGGCCGGGCCGGGCATCCAATATCACACAAAGCCATGATATGATCCTTCCTTGTGATCGATATTCGATCACCACCATGTTGAATATTTGCCACAACTGTAGATGCGTGATATCCCTCCCACGTTAAAACCATCCTCTTATTAAGACTTGAAAACATAGTGTGTTGTGATTATTTAATTAACTGTCTGTGAGAGATTCTTTGTTTTGACCCAATAGTGCCTTTGAATGTGTCCCCCATGTTTGCAGTTAGACGTGACAATCTAGTCAATCAGTTGGATTTTGCCTAGGATTTTTTCTTTTTGGATCTGTTTTGGGTATATATATATTTGTGGCTCTTTTTCATGAGGGTATTTGCATGCTTTATTATATAAACATGTCTAAAACCACCTCCACACTTGAGGCATTGAGAAGCTTTGTGGCAGAATTCACTAATAAGGTCTTTATATTTTTATTTGAAAGACTTGTGTGAAGTTTTCTCCATGAAAATTTTAGATTGTACCGAGGTTCCCACAATAATATCCTCCAGTCCTCTCATTTAGGATCCGTTTGGTATGTGGAATTGAAATTGAATTTGAAATTGAGATTCTATGGAATTGATTTGGATGAAACTGAATTCTCCAATTCTAATTATGTTTGGCAATACCAATTCCAAATCCACATTTTTTATGCTACCAAACAACAGAATTGAAATTGTTGTTCCTATTTTCATAGTTTGAGTTTCGTGTACCAAACATAGTCTCAGTATATTCGATTGACTATCCCCTCTATATGCCTAGAGAAGATATACTTATAGAGATCAAGGGAACCAACCACAACATGTATGATGTATATATAGGTAACCACCTATGAATCTGCCGTGATCATGAAAGATTATTCTGACCAGGCCAGGTATATTGAGTTTACCCTCTATATACATTTGTGTCAGTCTAAATATTCTTCTTTAGATGACTCCTCGCTCTCGCTCTAATTGTCAACCTCTCCCAGAAAAAAAATCTTAGCAAACGTATATATTCTCAAACTCATTCATCATGCAACGAAGATTTGTCTCTACTTCTAGCCATTATCCACTTATTATCATGAAATTCCTTATTCTACTTTGATTAGGATTCTCCATGTCTTCTTGATAAATATTTATGTAACCTTCATTATTCATTAAGAACAATTATTATCAAATTCTATCAATATTATTAACCTATTTAACATATTACATGTGATTTATATTTTCTTGAAAATCAGTATGGATTAAAACCCATCAAGTCTCATCCTTCATGACAATTCTACTTTTAACCTCTTTTGAGATTTGTTTCATGACATCATCTAGAATTTAATTCAATTCAGTTAAGTAATTAACTTTATAAGTGAAAAGAAACCCTTCACCTATTGCTCATCAATCATGTTTATGATTTAACTCAAGTTTTGCACCTAGTTGGAAGGCTTTGAGAATCTTAAGAACCATTCTTTCATCTTAAATATTTTTGTCAGCAAGATCAAGAGATTCATTATTGATGCTCATAACTCTAGCTCCAAGCAGATTAGCAATGAATTCATATTCACCCTTTTTATATTTTGAAGGCCTGAAAATGAACATTTTTGTTGAGAAATGAGATGTACTAGAGTTGTAGAATTAAGATTGGATTTCCTTTCGGCCCTTTGTGTATATCCTTTTAATTTCAAAGTTTGTGAAACCTAAATTGACTTGAATCTCTTTAAACTGGACCATACATTTCAGCATTGGAGAAATAATAGAGAGATACCGTGAAAGCACAAAAGAAACTCGCATCAGTATTGATAATGCTCCTCCACAGTACATCGAGGTCAGGACCTGGTTTTTATTTTTACTTCTCCTTTCAAATATGAATCTCTTTAAGACAAAAAAAAAATCTTTAAACAGAACTTTGGTGTTTTATTGTTCGAGTTATGCATTGGTAAACCTCATGTCGGATGGTGTTATTAGCGTATATATGTATAACTATTAATTAGGTTTTGGTGTTAATTAATTAATGACCTCAGGGTCCGTTTGGTATACGGAATTCATGGAACTGGAATTGAATTAGAATTGAAATTTCATCAAATTCATTTCCATAGAATTGAATTCACCAATTCCAATTCATTTTTTGTACTATTAATTCCAAACCCATATAATTTTTGTGCTATCAAACATCAGAATTGGAATTGAAGTCCTCAATTTCAATTCCATAGTTTGAATTCCGTATACCAAACGGAGCCTCATTGTTGTTGGGCTGGTACGTAATTAGGCAAGCTAGACTGGTTTCCTATAATAAAACACATCGCATTTGTGTTTAGTAAAGTTATAAGTTCAGTTGGTCTAAAATTTTACAGTAACAAATTGACACCCAACCGCCATTTACAAGTAAATTTTAATGTGATGTGCAGCAGCGCTTCAAACACGACATAGCTATGATGTCAAAGCAGATAGAGATGCTCGAAATCGCTCAACGGTATCGCCTTTAATTCTACTCCATCGCTTTGCTTTACACATGTTATAGTTCTTATAAGCTGTTTAGAAGCTAAATATTTATTGCAGATAGAGTGGCAAGAATTATATATTGCTCATCACACACCAGGCCAATATTAGTTGTACACATATGCATGTTGTGCAGGAAGCTTTTGGGGCAAGGTTTGGGATCATGTTCATTAAAGGAACTTCATGAAATTGACCGTCAGCTGGAGATGAGCCTCATTAATATCAAGGCCAGAAAGGTATTTGTTCTACCATCGTCCCAGGCTTTTTGTTCTAGTTTGACTTTTGTATGCTAATCTAAAAATATATTTAATTATAATGTAACAAATAATTTAGCACGGGGTGAGTGTGTTATTCCTCATCAAAAACTATTTACACATGGTGAATGGACAACTAATTATGGATATTTCGAATCAGAGAGTAGAACCCTTAATTAATTAATTACATTGAGGCAGCTGCTAAATAATAACTTGGTTAATTATATTATCCGTGCTAGGCTCAAGTGTACATGGAGCAGATTGAGAGCCTAAAAGCCAAGGTATGACGATATACTACTCCCTATGTTGATAACCATACAATACAATGAGAAGTCATTTTTGTTTAAATATAAAAAACTATTCCTAGACCACAACCATAAACTCTAGCTTTTATTTGAGTTGTTTCCTTGATACGGCATTGGATGGAGACTTGTTTTGAAAAATGTAATAAGGTTTCACGTGCAAGACTCGAAAAAACTATGCTTGTAAGTGAGGGGCGTGCTAGAATATGAAAACCTTACCTAGGGGCGTCCGACAAGCTAAGGAACTTGAGGTGGTTAAAGTGTTTCTTTGATGACAATGATCTAGAGGTTACGCACTCAATAATGTAGAATCGAATAATTCAAGGGAGAACTCCATGGATTGGTGTAAACAAAACTTTAAAAAATATCAAAATAGGAGTCCTAAGTCTTTTAAGACTAAAATAGGAACTCAACTTGTCATTGTTACACTGTCACAACTACCACATTGTCACACTGTAACTGTCACACTGTCAACACGAATTCTCACATCACAATGCCGCTATATTTTTATTTTGGTTTTAAAAAACTTAGGATTTCTATTTTAGTATTTTCATACTTTTTTTTACTCTTACCGAGAGAGATTTCTTATAGTTCAATGAAATTTAGCAGAGTGTGTGTAGGGGATATATGTACAAAGCTTCCTTGACTATTCCTAATCATAATATAGGTATATTTATAAGGGTATCCGGCCCGGGCATTACTAATTACGATTGGTTACTTTAATTGTTCAGGAGAAAGATCTGCTAGAAGAAAATGCAACATTGCGTGAGAAGGTATATTTAATTTGAACCTTGATTATTTCATTCATATATCTAATATTGCTTTGTTGATTTTTTTTCCTCTTCCAAGTTTGGGAAAAAGACTAAAGTTGGAGTAAAATATTAAAATATATCAAAATAAAACCTCTTATGTTTTTATTCACGAAATAAAAGTTAAAATGCATTACATTACCAAATGTGGTTATATACATTACCGAAAAGTATAGTAATGTGCACGCCACATTACAGCAGTGCGAACTCTTATTTTGGAAATAAAAACATACTCCCTCCGTTTGGATAAACACTTCCCATTTGGATTTGGGGCAAAAATAAGGAAGTGTTAAATTATAGTTGATTTCCAATTTTGCCCATGATGTGATGGGTAAAAGTAAGATGTGATGGATAGATTATTAGAGAAAAAGTATGATGTGATAGGTAGGGTATGAAAAAGTAAGGGTAAAAGTGGGTTTTTAATAAAAAAGGGAAGTGTTTTGTTGGAAGTGAAAAAAATGAAAGAGGAAGTGTTTTTGAGAATGGAGAGAGTAGAAGTTTTATTTTGGTACTTTTTTATATTTTAGTCTTATTTAGGGTGATTTCTATACATGTTAATAAGATTATTATTAAGTATGCATTTGAAATGAATATATGTATAGTGTGGTGTGAGACAAAATGAAGTAGTACTAGTGCCCGGAAAGCAAAAGGAGGAGATAGAAAGGAAGAAGAAGAAGGAGAGGTGTATGGATTTGGTGGAAACAGATTTGTTCATTGGCCTTATTCCTCCTTCCCGCTACGCTACATACTCATAGCTGCTAATAACAACTCATCTTTTTTATTTGCATTACGTACATTTATAGATTATTATGAGTATTAATTACTCGTTTGATTTAGAATCAATTTAATTAGTCCAGCATCCTTAAACTGTAATTGTAAATATAGCGCACATGTCCTTAATTATAATAAGGCCTAGCTATGAACATTATTATACGTAAGCAATTAAGCACATTTTAATTACCCATATGCATGTTGATGTATTTGGATCCGGCCGACTAAGGTTCTATATATGCGTACATGGGGATAATACATCTTGTATGTATGCTTGGTATATATCAATAAATCCTCTTAAATAAAATGCACTCTTTTCCAGACTTTATTTGGGTTTTTAATATTCTCCTTGAATATATACTTGTGTGATGTCATCTATTCTTTAACTTCGTTCTAGTCTATTCCTTCATTTTTACTCATTCCAGTCAAACAGAATGAATTCTAATTTCAGTTACTTCGAATTTGCATACAATGAAATAAAATTTTTAAAAATTATCTATTCTCTTTGTTTCACAAACCTCTTCCGTCCTAATTTTTTGCACACCTCTTTAACATTTCTGCCCTACAAAAAATGTCTAAAATGTACCTACATTATCTATTTTTTGGAGGTAAAAGTTTTGGTGGTATGGAGGGGTTATAAGATAAATCTTGTAAAATCATTTTATATACTACAATATGCATCACATTTTTATTGAAATAAGATTTAAATTAAAATTCATCTAGTTTGATTGGCAAAATTAACATGATCCTCCCTCCACATATACCAATTTAATTAAACTATACGTTTACTATTTACAATGTTAAATTTTACTCACTTTTTTTAATTACTAATTTGATAAAATAATTTATGCATGTCACTTTTTGTTTTGAAGAGTTTTGATGTACTACTTTTGTCCTTGAGTATTTATTAAGTTTAGAACTTTTGCAATCAAAATTTAGAAACTAAGATTACTTATTAAATAAAATTAATATTAGACATTATTAAAAAACAATTCTATTAGTTTTATTTCATAAAATAATTTCAAAACATTCCTTTATCTAATTTATATTCCCTATGACTTTTATTTAATTATAGATCAAATTATAGATTGAAAATGATTTACTGAAAAAGTCAGGACTTGACAAATATTAAAGGACGGGAGCGATAATCACTACAAAAAAATTGACCTTTTGTAGCATAAAATTCTGCCACATACATTTCTTACATCAAATTTTGCCACATATACTTGTTTTAATGGGGTGTTTGTGGCAAATTTTAGAATCTGTCACAATTACCTTGTTACAAAAAGTCAAACTTTTTGTAGTGAATTTTTTAAATTTGCAAATTTTTCTTTATAATTCTATTCCAATTATTAAATAAATTTAGTCAAACATTGTAAATCAATTAGAGTAATTTAAAATAGGATGAAGAAAGTAATATTTCTCAAAAATTAAAATTCAAGGTTTTTTACACAAAATTCAAGGTATATAATTTGAGAAAGCAATGTTTCTAGGTACCCGTTCAAATTCAAACGTGCTACGTGACATTAGACTATAAACACATTTTCATTCATTATATTAAGTGAAATTTGCACTAAATAGGACTAAAATATAATGATTTTCTTAATGTAGGATTTAAATTTTTTTATTCCCTAAATAGGACTTAATAATGACCTAGTGGGAGGAATAATGTCTAGAAATGATGAACATTTATTTGAACAATGATTACTTGATAATGACTAAAGGTCCTATATGAGGAAATAAAAACATATGGTCCTATATTGAAAAAGTCATTATGTTTTAGTCCTATTTAGGAAAATTTCTCTTATATTAATATTCATCTATATATCCAATCATTTTCTCACATCCATATCATCTCTACGTTATCAATCCTAGCTTTGAATACTTCATCAACTCATTTCATTCATCCATCTGTTTAATTAATTGTTCATGGATCAACACACTTTTATTCTACTTTATTTTCAGTATTATTTTAAATGATTTATATTCAAGATTATGTAAATTTTTTAACAAAATCGATGCATAAAAGCATTAGGAAATATATTGAAATAAATATTTAGAAATTATATGCATTTATATTTAAAAAATCAAATTAGAGGAGAAAAATAGAAAAATATTTTAACTAAATAAAATATTGAAATATTTTGGAATTAAATATTGCAAATTCAATATTTAAAAAATAAAATAATTTTTGAATATAATTGGCCCTACATTTTAATGCGTCCATAATACTCCCTCTGTCCACCATAGATCTTCCTAGACACTATTCACAGGGTCAAACTTTACTCACTTTGTTTGGTCAATTTTACTAGTCATTTCATAAAATAATATAGTTTTGTCACCTCTAGTTTTGTAGAACTTTTCATGTACTTTATTACTATATAAATTTTATTTTAAAATTTTACTCCTATAATCAATTAAATTGAATTGAAAATAAAGTCGGTCAAGCTTCGTAACGCGTAATGGGAAGATCATACATGGACGGAAGGAGAAATGAATGTTAAGCATCAACCATCTTTGCTTCATTCTAAATACCTTTACACGTCACGCTAAGGCCTTGGGGTGTGGCACCGAAAGGGGAAGGGAAAGCCACTGGGTGCGGGAAGGGAAGGGGAACAACCCCTAATATATACTCCCTCCGTTCTTAAAAAGTATTCCTATTTTGACTAAATATAAAAATAAGGAGGTGTTGAATTTTCGTTGATTTCAAATTTTGTCCTTGATGTGATGGGTAAAAGTAAGATATGATGGATAGGTTATTAGAGAAAAAGTATGATGTGATAGGTAGGGTATGAAAAAGTAAGGGGTAAAAGTGGTTTTTTAATAGAAAGTGGAAGTGTTTTGTTGAAAGTGGAAAAAAGGAAAGAAGAAGTGTTTTTGAAAACGGAGGGAGTAGTTTATTTGTTTAAATTAAAATAAATGTTAAAAATAATATTAAAAATTGAAGGGGAAAAGGGAAGAAATTTATATGGAAAGGGAAAAGTAAGAGAAAAGAAAATTGAATTTGACATTGTGCTTAGTTCCTTAGTTCCCAATGGGGAAAAGGAGTTCTAATAAATGAAGATGTTCTTTTTTTGTCTCTAATGAAGATGCTCTAATAAATGTAAAATTGACACACATGGTCTATGCTTGGGGAGATTATAGTATGTGGAACGAAAATACTAGAGTCACTAATAAACACTCCCTCCGTCCCCCTAAAATGTTCTCATTTTAACTTTTGGTGGTTTTTAAGGAGAGTTGAAAAAAGGTGAAAGTTTACCATAATACCCTTAATGAAAAATGGGTGGAGTGTATTAAATGAAGTGGGTGAGGTGTAATAAATAAAGTAAGTGGTGGTAGTTGTGGTATTTTAATTGTTAAAAAATGAAATGAGAAGAACTATTGTGGACAAAGAAAAAGGGCTATTGAAAAGATCTATGGGGGACGGAGGGAGTAGTTCATATAGAAATCACCTTAAATAAGACTAAAACATAGAGTAAAATACTAAAATAGGACTTTCATGTTTTTTTTTCCCGAAATAGGACTTTGCACTTGGTAATGTGACTTTGCACTGTGGTAATGTGGCAGTGTATATGTGGACATTACTATACTTTTTTGGTAATGTATATGATCATGTTTGGTAATGTAAGTCCTATTTCGGGAATAAAAACATGGAAGTCCTATTTTGGTATATTTTCAATGTTTTAGTCCTACTTTGGTCTTTCTCCCTAGTTCATAAACTTCAAAAATTTGCCTTTTGTGGATTTGAAATTAAAATATATTTATTTGAGTGCATATTATTTCCTAGGAAAATATAAAAAAAAGTAAGTTTGTTAATTTTATGAACGATTTATTTGTGACTCTAGCATTACTCTATGTGGAAAAGAATATGAGAAATTAAAGATTAGGCTTAAGTTACATTTGGCATCAAAATTCGTGTCCAACCACAAACTTGCGTGAAAATTTCCTCGGATACATTTGAAGAATATGACATGTTCCAAAATAGGGCCATTTGAGGTGGTTAATAGTTCCTACCACATAAATTTTGAATTTTGTTGTTTTCTTGGACTCCCGAAAAGTAAAACAACCGTACGCGCGCAGTAACAAACAAATGCTGTGTCGTATTAATCAAATCACGGATTTAACAGTCAATACCCTGCTGCGGAGGTCGAGGCGGCGGCGGCTGCTGTCATCGAAGACTGGAGCTGCAGGAGGTGGTGGTAGCAGTCCGCCGCCGACGGTCGCTGCTCTGGGTTATGGTCCAAACACCTGTTCTGCAGTTCCCCCAGCAGCTTCGGCACTCCCGCCAACCCACAGGTCTTCACTAGCTGGCCCACCCCCCAAACGTCAACCTTAACCCCATGCAAACCCCTCCCCATCTCCGGCGCGTGACGCCCAC